TGGATAAAAGTAAGTGGGTGGGGCACTACTACCATAGTACTACTGTGTGCCTGGATGTTGCTCATAGGAAAGATACAAGAGTTCTTTACTTAGTGGTATTGTACAGCCATCTTGTTCTCTAGCTGTAGCTAGTCTGTGGTAATGAGGCTCTGCAAAATATGGATCAATTATGTGCAAAACCAAAACAAGCATAGGGAAAATGGTAAAATGCATGCTCAGCTAGCAAATGCCTGCTTCATGGAGAAGACACGGTTTCATACACTGCTATAAAAATTAACTTTGAATCCAGTAATTCTGCTACTTTTGGACTTAAAGGAGTAGGAGAGATTTCTCAGACATTTTTTCCCCTTGTTTGGTGAAAATAGTCTTTTTTTACATAAAGCTCTCTAATCTTGTTCAGTAAAACTGTATTTTGCAGAATTTAAAATGTGAAACTGTAGGTTTTCACCATTTGGAATAGCTAATTTTTTCTGTGCGTATGGAGGCTCTCACTCTAGTACATATTCTGAATTTATTAAGATTTGTTTTGTTACTTGGCAGTGGACTTTGCCTTTTTGCACAATCGTGTTGATGTGCCTTTCCTTTTCCTCATTGCACTGCTTCTTTCCTTATTGTGGGAATGTACTTCATTTGAAAAACTTGTGTTTAGAACACAGCATTTGAATTGACTTGACTTTTTATTGGTTAATTTCTTTGTAGGCAGAGTTCTTACCTGAGAACATAGGGTTATAAAGCAGATTTAAGAAACAATTAAAACGCATGTTCAGAATTTTCAGTATTCCTATGCTGTATGTATTGAAGACCCTTTTAAAGATTTACAGTTTGAATCAGTAAGGCAAGCTATGCAGTCTTCATGCACAAAGCAGCTGAGTAGGTGGTTGGTTGCAGAGCCGCGTAGAATATAACCTTGAACTAGGGGCTAGAGAAAAGAAATAAAATTCATTAATAAGGTATCAAGTGAGAGAGCACTATTAACTGTTATGGCTTAAAGAAATGAATTATACCTTTGCCTGCTAGTGCAACACGGAAAAGCTATACTATGAACTAGAATGTTTTGTCAAGGTGGTTTACGTTACTGAGTGATTATAAATGTCTTGGAAGATCTGCAGTGAAGCCAGTTGATTAAATTTAGGTCTTCCTTTTCTATTACACTATGACCTTACCGTGCAGGGGAAGATGGCAGTGCTTAGTCTGTAGAGCAGCATTCGCTGGTAGTTAATGAAAGAGCTGGGTTACAGTGGGGGTTTTGACCTCCTTCGTTCTGTTCAGTTTCTTGTTTTTCCACTCTTATTCTCATTAATCCCTCTGTGTTGTATCTTGTTAAAACATTACTGACAAAATCACTTCCCTTGTTCAACTCTGTAGACCCTCGTATATTCTGAGTATAATATTGTTTGCACTTAGGTAATGTGCGTAGCTAGCTACTAGGGTGTTGGATTTAGCTCGCTCTTAAAGCAGTTAAGAAGAAAAGAGGTTTTCAAGTTTACAAACATGAGAAGATGACACGTGACTGTTCTGATTTGTCGATAAAATGTAATGGTTTTTTGTATTCAAATAAAGGGAGGATTGGAATGGAATGGGAAAGACGGAAGCACTTAGAAAAATAGCATGTCAAGAAAAAAACACGTGAGCTGAGTGAGAACTGGAAATATGGCATGTGTAACATTTTTCTTTCCTCTGTGCTTTCAAATATCACGATAGTAAAATATAGCGCTTAAAATTTTAAGTTGCTATTTGGAATTCTTTCATTCTGTGCTTGAGAATGTAAGTGGTATTACATCAGTAGGCTGTTTTTGTAAAATTTATTAATAAATCTGCTGTTTGGTAATTGACAAGTTAACCAGTGAAATGCAATAGAGTGTTGCCTTGCAAGAAGGAGGAACATTGTAACAGGTTTGAAACTTGTAACTAATAACACTTTGGTGTCTTCAGTAGGTTTTTATAGTGAGTAAGTCCATTATATTAATTACGAAGTGAAAAAAGTAATACTGGTTTGTTTTATAAAATCCAGGGTGCTAGGCAGAAAATTTTTAAAAGAAAAAACTGTGATACCTAAACTAACGTTTTTTTTAATTATTATTTCTTGCGCTGGGGGGGGAGGGGAAAGTGTTCTTTTTGTTGTTGAGAAGTAGAGGAAAGCAGTGCTGAGTTTTGGTTTCAGGGTGACTTCCTTACTAGTGCATTCTTCCTCTATTTTTTTTTTTTTAAAAAAAAAATAATCTGCCTCTTCTCAAATGTGTTTTGTAGATAATGTCGGACTATTTTTTCTCATTTTATTTTATAGCTACACATAATATTATGTAATTACTTCAATTTCCCTTTGCAGCTAATCTAGTTGTGCTCCTAGTCTCCTTTGTTGCTGTCTCTGGGGAAGGGAAAAAAAAGCAGGTTTATGTAAAAAACTTTTTAGTTCTAATGCAGGCCAGTCCTACTGATACAGTTTTTAGGCAAATAAGTTCCCCCCCCCAAAAAAAAAAAAAAATTGTAATCTGTGTATGGTTCAGAAGTGATTTTTATTAATATCATGAAGCCTGACAGTTATCCTCGCTGTAGGGATATAGGCTTGTGTGAAGTGAATTCGAGATGCTTGTAGAAGACTGTTAATAGCTCAGCATGGCAAAGATCCTTGTAAATGAGGCAGAAATTCTGATTGCAAATAGGAAGAAGCATTAGAAGAAACTTACCTGAAACAGAGGCTTCTTTGTAGTCTCTCCCTGTGTGTGTTACCAGCAGATACTGGTTCTTTTGGTTTGAAAAGTTTGGATGTGGCCTTTAGGTTTAGTCCACTTTCTGATCTCTCTAGTCATTGGGGGAAAAAAAGGTTAGATTGTTTTGTTGGATTTGTTTGCAATGCAGTTCTGTGCAGTTGTAGCTGCTGTTCTTTTGTTCCTGTTTGCTCTGTTAAAAACAAACTCCTAATTAAAGATTAGATAGTTGGTGGCAAATGAATGTCAGATAAGGAGTTTTATATATGTGTGTATACCTGCGCGCACACATATTTAATAGAAATCTGTTGGAAGATTTAGAGAGTACTGTATATTTTGGATGTCTCTCCTGGTGTTTTTTCAGGGTCCCAGTAAAATGTCAGTGCCCTGTTAAATGGCAGACACTGGCTATTGTCTGAGCCGATTTCTGTGCTGCTGTGTACTTCATCTTTTACGTCAAATGAGTGTTAGCTCTGAACAGAGTGAATTGGCTGGTTTTATTATGTATAGCGCAAGGCACTCTGAGTTCTGAATACTCTTCTGAGGGAAAGCTTGTAAATGTCCATAGTTTTGGTTTTATGCCATTTTTATAGATGGAAACTTGTACAGAAGTTTTGTCTAGCCTGGAACGTTCTCTTGGGACTTTGAACTAATGCTGATGAAAGAAAGTGATAGTTGAATATTTGAAAATATCATTAAGCTTGTGAAAACACCAGATTTTATCATTGTAACTTGAATAACTAGCACTTTGACAAAGCTGCCTTTTACTTAAGGTTCAACATTTGTCTGTTCAGTTCTGTTAATGTTTTTGCTGTAACTCTCTTGGGTCTAGCGCAGTGGACAATGTACAGCAAGGGATTCTTGCAAAGGTCTTTGGGATGCTGAAGGAAGTTCTAGTTTATTATTAGCACAGGCATGCACTACGTAATGCAACATATTTTTTTTTCCTGACATAAATAATGAAAAACTTCTTTAAAATTAAACCAGTGCAGGGATTATACTTAGTCAACATATCTCATAACTAGGCTACTATCATTTTGATATGTTGTTAAGGCCTGTAGTATGTGCTGGGACTGAAACCTGAATCTTTGTGTGCATTTGTATTTGCTCTCTCCCACATGGATGCAGTTCTGACATGAGAAAGTTACGCTATTGTCATTTGAGTGTGAAACCTGGGATGGAGAACGGTGTTTTTTTGCTGAGCTTGCAGAAATCTATGTTCACATCCCAGATTGTCTTGACCAATGTTGGTAAAATATGCACATCAAACCACTGTCAATGTTTGGCTTCCTTACATGTTTGTTTTTGAAGAAGGTATAAAGATTTAGGTTATTTTTCCCCAGCTTTTCAAAACTGGTCTTACCCGCCAAGTTATGGTTGCTGATCAGGTGAGCCTTTGCAGTCACTAATTTGAACAGATTTTCTAATTTCATCCTTATTTGTGATTTAAATGAATCTGTTCTATTTTGAGCCAAAGTGGAACGGAAAGAGGCTGTCGGTCAGGCATGGTGTCTCAGCAACTGTAGTGTTGCTGCTGCTGCTCTCTTCTAGAGCATGTGCAATTATGCTCATATTTATTTTTTTGTGACATAGATTACTTTATATTAGTCACCTTTAAAAAAAAAACAAAACAACCAACCAAACCAACAACAAAAAGCAAACAAACACCACCACCCCACCCCACCCCAAAAATCCAGAAATTGTACTTATGAAAGAAATAGAACTGATTTGAAGACCTTTAGGGCATGCTTTCAGTTTTTAAAAAAAAATACAGGTACGGCAGGTTGCAATGAGGTCCTTGGGATGGAAGCTCTGTTCTACAGGTAGCTGGAGCGAGTGTCAGTTTAACACAGCTGATCTAGGAACAAGATGTGCAAATGCATTTCAAGACAGGTCAGTGACATCCTTGCAAATGATGCATCATTTATGGAAGTCATTTTAGGACTAATGGGGCTTATTAGCTTGTGCTTGATGCTGGAGAAATATAATTATACTGATTCTGCAGCCGGTGTGGATCTGTAGCATTATACCTCTGCTTGAGATAATAATTCCTCTCAGAAAGTGAGATGACAGTGTGAGGAGAGCTCTGTCCTAGAATTTGAAGTGTATCTATTGTCTGGATAGTCTTGGCTCTCCATTTTCTTCCTACTACTCCCTCATAACTGTTTATTATGGAACTTCGTAGTTTTTACTTTTACTCCAGTTTGGCCAAGCCTCTGAAAATTTTCTATGGCATTTAGTACTTAGATTTCCAAAGTAATAATGAGGAAAATAACTTCTGCAGCATGTTTCATAATGGAGCAGAAGTGAGTTTTCAAGGGATTTTTTCTGACCAATGTTTTTATTTGTTTTTTTAATAAACATTAATATCTCTTTACCAAAGTGAACCAAAACCTTAGATTTTGCTTGAAAATCCAGAGAACAAAATTGTGCAGCTTTTTTTTTCATTAAAGTGTAAAAAACGTTAGTATTATTACTGTTATCTGTCTTTGTTATCCTGACATGCCAGAAAATTCCATAAAACCTGCTTCCTGGCATAAAATTGGACTGTATGAGTTTCCAAGACTTGTCCTCATGTGGGGTTTGATTTTTTTTTTTTTTTTCTTTTCTTTCAAGGGTCTCTAGCCATTTGGAAAATTTCAGTTTTACATACAGAATTTTGAAGCTTTTGCTATAGTGTACAGTGTGTGCACCTACACATTGTTTTGAATCACTCCTACATAATCTTGACTTAGCTCAATGAATTTTTACGTTGCTTTACAAAGAAGACATTTTATAATGCAGGAAAACTGTAAATTTAGAAATTAGCCAATATTGCATATGAAATAGAAACATCGTTATACTATATTAATTATTTGTTCAGTTGAAGCGTTGCAATGTAATTTCTCATGTTGATAATTGAAACTGAATTAATTTGTTACTAAAATTAAATTTGACATAGAGGTGGATAGTCCTGACCATAATGATTGTAGTTGGCTTTTTTTTTTCCTATTTTTTTTTTCTTTAAAGTTTTGTCAGCCTTCACACACTGGTGCTGTCTTTTGAACTCTGAAGTTCCTATGTCTCCAAGAAGTCTTTTTTTTTTGTTATTGCTTGATACTTCTTTCTTTGTCCAGCTGATGAATTAATTGTTTTTTATCCTGATTATACTTTTTCTTTCCTGTGAAGTGATATACTCAAGAAAAATAGATTTCCATCAAACTTTAATCAAGAGAATACTTGTAAATCTGGTGAATACCCTTGCTATTCTTAGTATGGTAAAATGGATTAAAACTCCCACAGTTAATTTCATTTGTTTCATAACGTTTCTGTGTGGTAGCAGTGGATTAGGCTAGTTGACTTGTTTTCCTGCCCTTCACCTCAGTTATTTTTCTTCCCTTTTGTTTTTTAATGAAGAACAGAATGAAAACTACTAGGCAAATTAGGATATCCCTTTGAAAAACCGAATGAAAATAATTCAGATTAAATGGTATTTTTCCACAGTACAAGTTTGTTTTTCTAACTGTTAAGATTCCCCCACCCTCATGCTAGGTTGTTTTTCTGCTATGACTTTGTAGATGGCTTAGTGTTTTGAGTTTTTTTTTGGGGGGGTTTGTTTTGTTTTTGGTTTTTTTTCCCCTTTCTACCTTTCTATTAGTCTCTTTATTCTGTTGCAGGCATATCATAGGCCTACTTGTGGACTATGTTTGCTTATTCATAGCTATAAGAAGTATTGAGCACTTTTAGTTTTTACATTTCGAAAAAGGAAAGCTAAGGTTTATTGCTGTCTTTTAGTTGGTTATATTGCAGCCTTTAGTATTCAGTATTTTTTAACTAAATTAATGACAGTTGTGAAAGTGAAACTTACCAAGTTGCTACAATTACAGCTTCAGTGTTGCATTTAGATTTTTCTTGTCATGTTGTAACATTAATTTCTTTTTGTTGAATTCTGGTTGTGTAATCAGCTGAATTTTTCTCAAGTACTACATATACTAAAGGTGTTTGCACAAGTTGCATAGGATCAGATTTTCTTTAAAGAAGAAAAATATCTGACCAGTAGTGAGGAAAAAGGAGCGTGTCTATCTTATAGGTATGCTTGCATTTTGCAATTCTTTAATGGTAGAAACTATGTCTAAGAAAGCTTTAGCATTTTTTAACAAACTGTTTAGGTGTAGAAACTTGATTTGGTAACTCTAATTTTTATTTTGTTGTTCATGCATGATCTTTATTATTTCGTAAACTTTTGTTTATTCTGTAAGCGTGGTGATAATGGTTTACAAAAAGTAGTTTGTCAGAAAAGCAGATAAATGGAGAAAGCAGCTAGGCTAAATTTTAACTGGGTAAATCTTTATTTTTTGAAACAGGAGATCAGCAAAATCTCGAAGCAGAAGTCCATATTCATCAAGGCACTCACGGTCTCGTAGCAGACACAGATTGTCTCGATCCAGAAGTCGTCATTCAAGTATTTCTCCTAGTACACTGACTCTGAAGAGTAGTCTGGCTGCTGAGCTGAACAAAAACAAAAAAGCAAGAGCTGCTGAGGCAGCCAAAGCCAGTGCAAAAGCTTCCAATACTTCAACACCTACTAAGGGAACCACTGACACTGCTGTAAGTGCACCTCAAGTGAACAATGTAAAGGACCTGAAAAAAATAAAAACTGAGCATACACCTTCTCCTACAAGCAGCACGAATTTGAAAAATGATAAAGCAAAAGCAAAGGTCTCACTTCCCGAAACAAAAGGGGAAAATAATTTAATTGCAGACAAAATTACTAAACAGAAACCTACAGTAGTAAAAGAGAATAAAGTAACTGTTGTAAAACAGCCACCGGTCACTGTAAAAGAGAAGAGCAAACCGAGTACACCAAGTGTAGTGACCAAGGAGAAGGATCGGATTGTTGCACTACCAACCTCCACGCTGCCACCCTTGCCTTTGCCTCCCACGCTGCCTGAAGATAAAGAAACTGATAGGTGAGTTGTGACAAAGATCTACTTTTTCAGGTTCTCTCTTCCTTTTCATTATTATTATTTTTGTTGTTGTTACCTTCTTTTTTTAATTGTTACTATTATTATCTCCTTTGGAAAACAAATCTAAACCTATTTGCTATTAAGATCTTTGGTCTTAAAATAAAAATAATGTAACTGGTGCTTGAAAAGAGAAGGGTTTAATCTAGGAGGAATCTTTCAATAAAAAGTACACTAAAGAGATGATTTAAAATTGCTGGTACATAATAGCTTTGGGACTAATGCAAGGATGCATTCAAGGATTCAAGATTTCAAGTTTGGTATGAACACGTAATTACTTCTGGGGAAAAGTTGAATTTAGTAGCAATATGTGAAAATTCTTAAATTAGCCATGGTTTGAGGTAAAGATTCTCTCCCCTTTGGAAGGCACTCCTTTTTATAGCTGTGCATTATGTTAGTTTAATTTATCTCAGAGATCGGTATTATTTTGATTATGTATAATGGAAGTGAGGTTCATGGCGTGTCATTTTTGTTAACTTGTGAAGTGTAAAAATTAGTCTGTAGTGAAGAAATTCATGTCTGTATGCCAAGTGTCACCTGAGTTTAGACTACGCTAAGTCTCTTCATAGTCTCAACAAAGAATACATGCTGTGATTTGTATTGGAAAATTACGCCATTGAGCAGTAATTTACTATTTTTCTTACGGTTTTGGTGATGAAGTTGAGAAGAGTTACTTTTGGTTTTACTCATGGTGTTACATGCCTCTCACGTATATGAGAAATCAGCTTCTCACAACAAGTAAAACAATTTCTTACGATGGAAGTAATAAGTAATTTAAGTGTGATGTATCTCAATAAAAAAATCAAACTGTGTAAAAGAAAAATTCAAAACCTTATGAAGTACTTTTTTTCATATTCCATATCTGTGAAACTAGCCTGTCTTCTCTTGGTCTTTGGGAAGTGTGTAGTGTTTCTTTGATTAGTAAAAGTAGTTGTAACTAGAGGTGTAAATATTTTTCCTGTTTGCTAGTAATTTAATGCTATGTTAAACATTAGGTTGCACAGGAGGCGTTGGCAAATAAATATGTCCTAACAAGGTATTAAACAGGTTTGGGGTTTTTTTAGTAATAAGAGAGAACTTTTGTTTTTTGCCCTTCAGCACTCTAGCAAATGTCATTCCAGTTGTTGAGAATCTCATCTGTGTGGTGAATGTACAGTTTCATTCAAATTTATGACAAAGCCATCCTCTCTAGGTTAACAGGGTTTCTGACACTGCTATTTGAGAGCAATATTTACTTTTTTAACTAGGCTAACTAGTTATATGACTGGCTTTCCAGTGTTAATTGTGATAGTATGAAATAGATTTCACCGTGAAGCTGGCTAATTGCTTCTCATTATTAGTATTTTTTAATGTAATACCTGTTTTAAGTGTACCTAAACTGCATAGAGGAGGTAAGCTACAATTGAATGGTTCTATCAGCACTGGGCTTATTTTCCTTTCAAAAAAAAAAAAAAAAAAAAAGCCCAATGCTTGCAAACAGCTGTATTAGAAAGATTACTGACAACTAGTAGAACGTCATTTATGCTTTGCTTAGTTTTGCTTGTAGGATGTTAAAAACTTCAAATCGGAATGGTTGTGATTACAAGTCATGATAAGGCTTAAGTCATCAAAGAAAAATGATCAATATTTTTTAGGGGGGAGGAGGGCAAAGGTATTTACCTTGGGCTCAGAGGTACTATGGGGAAATTGCGCTAACAAAGAAAGCTTGATGATTTGCAGAACTGACTGGTTCCTAATGTCACATCAGTTGTGAAGTTCAGTAAGAATCTGATTAAACCCACAAGTAAACTACCTAAAGGAACAGCAGTGTTGCAAAATCACCATGTAGGTTAGCTGAAAGGAAAAATTGTTCTGGTGGTCAATGACGTTTGATTTAATAGACCTGAAAAAAAGGGTGCTCTTGGCTGTCTCTGTTTTCAGGTACCGCTTTTAAAATCTATTTCAGAACCTCTCATATATTGTACTTTCACTAATATTGAAAGTTTGGGGGCAAAATTGTGAGAGAAATACAAATATATGAACTTCAAAATTAAGATTTTTTCCTTAACATGAAAATTACATGTGCTGTCCAAAGGTGGTTTATTCTTTATAGTATGCTAATCATTATGTTTGTGATGAGGGCAGTATATGCTTCCTTGAGGTGCTTCTTTAATACAGGCAGTGGCATCTTGAGAAGTGGTAGAAGGCATTCAAGTGTTCTCTTTTCATGGGGAAGCACAGATGTACGAAAAAACACTGGAATGCTTTATTTAAATATACAAAGATTGCAAATTGCAATTAATGTAAGAAAGAATATATGCATTCTCCATGATGGAAGGTAGCAAGGTCTTTACATTTACAGAAGTTCCTGCTTTATCTGTGAAACTAAGTAGGTAAAAAGTTGCAGAAGAATCTTCAGAAAAGGTTCCCAGAGAAGGATACTGACAGTAGAATAGTGCAATTTGGTATATGCAGCTATCTTGGAAAATGTCCCCTCAAAGCATGACAGAAAGTTTTCTTGATGCAATGACAAAATTTGAAATGTAAAGAGAGATTATTATATGAGAGTCCTGTGGGGGAGAAACGGTTATTATATAAAGTTTAGAGATGGTCATGGCTTTAAAATTGCTGGATATGCAGTAGCTGAACAAATCCAGCTGAACGAAAGGAAGTTCTGGTAAAATGGAACCACACGTTACTAAAAAATTTGCAGCAAGTATGATGTTTTCAGAATTTCCCCGTTAGAACGGGAAGAACATCTCTAAAATTACTGCATATAGTAATTGTTGCTGTACGTGTGTTTGGGGGATTTTTCTCAAGACAGAGATTGACTGTCAGTATCTGTTAACTAATGATGGTTGGTGATTAATAAATGGTCAGATATCAGTAAACCATAGCAGGAAAAAATTCAGCCATTTTTTTCTGTGGTTTTTTTTTTTCCCCCAACCTGATTGCATGATGTTCACTAGAAATGTGTTGAATCTGGAGTGTTTCAGCAAATTTATGAGATTGGAATCTGTAAATGAGGTGGTGTGGACTGCCTCGTAATGCCCTGCAGCGTTACTGTAACTGCAAAGCTCATTATCTCTGGAGACCAACTTTATAAAGAATTGGATTAGGATAATCTTCTCTTTTATATGAGAAGTCAGTCAGAGTACAGATTTTACCACTACACTTCTCATGTCTGGCAGCACCTGAGCTTTAAATATTCTTAATAGTCTAGGCCATAAACTTGAGAAGAAGCTTGTGTGGCATAGGTCTGGCCTGGTAAGGCTCGCTGTGCCACCTAACCTCAGCTTTCATCAGAAAGGTCCGATTTCATAGTTTCTGTAGAATTTTGGTAGTCAGCTGGGCATCTTCCAGAGAGCTATTTGTGAGCCATTTGTAAAACATAAATCAAAATCCTGCAAATTCTAAGAGCAGAGATTTCAAATGTTGATGCGTTGACAGCCTGGAATGTATTTCAAAAAGAATAATTCCAATAGATTTTCCTTTATGTATGGTAATGTCATTCTGCTGTATTCAACTTATTAGCAAAATTGTGTCTTTTCTACTAGTTTGCGAGAGAATCTTTCGGTGAAATCAGTTAAAGAAGCAGAGAAGAAACTTCGCCACCTGCTTGCAGACTTGCCACTTCCACCTGAGTTGCCTGGAGGAGCTGACTTGTCCAAAAGTCCTGAAGAAAAGAAACCAGCAGTTCAGTTACACAGCAAGAGAAGACCAAAGTATGTTTATTAGACTTTTTTTTTTTAAAGCCTATCAAACAAGTAGAAGCGATAATAGTTCATTTAAAATACTTTTTTTTTCAAAAAATTCTGCTTTTTAATGACTTTTTAAAATGTTAATGAGGTTTGAATCAAACTGTATGGTTTATTGTCATTTAATGGTAGTAAGGCAGTTATCTAATAATGTCTCGTAAGTATTCAGTGTTGAGGGTTTTTTCAAAGTTAAGACAATCCTTAGATATATTAGCTGGATTCTTAGAAATGTTTGTTGTATTCTAGAATATGTGGACCACGACATGGTGAGACGAAAGAAAAAGAAATAGACTGGGGAAAGCGCTGTGTGGATAAATTTGATATCATTGGCATTATTGGTGAAGGCACTTACGGGCAAGTTTACAAAGCCAGAGATAAAGACACAGGTAAGTTCAAAAAATTAAATGTAATCCTGCAATTCAAAAGTGAACAGGATATTTTGGTTTTGTTTCTATATTGAGTAAAATTTGTGGTGTTCTGCCCTCTAATGTTTGGAAAGTTTTTAGTTGTTGGTTTGTTTGTTTAGTTTTAAATCTAGCATTTTTCTAAATCAGAAATTATCTTTTGCTGCCTTGGAAAATCATTTATCTGGGAAGTTGTGGCTGAAAGCAAGCTGAGTAGTCTTAATTTCTAATTCTTATTCCTTGAGTTTTGACGCTCTGTATACAACTGAACTCGTGAAGAAGAGAGGGTAAATACTCTGGGGAAACAAAATGGCACCCTAGCCAGGTTGACAAAGAATAATGAAGTTTGTAAAGGGATGTAAGGGCAAAAGAAGCTATGTGTGAGATTTAGCCATTTTTCTTCTTCATACTCCAGTAGTCACTAGCTGATAGTAGGCTGAGAATCTGCCTCTGCAACACAGCCCTGAAGTGTTGCATATCAGGTATTTTTCTTGCAGTATAACTGACTTTACAACAGTGGCACAATTTTTAAATTTCATGTTAAACTATTGCTCAAATGAGCAAGCAGTCACCACTATGATATGTAAGAATGTCACTACTTCTAAATAGATGATGCATTGAAATTGATTCTTCATATGTGCTGTATGTTGCTTGATTATTTCATGTTCAATTAACAGTTCTTTCTGTGACTTCTTGCCCTTCTGGCTTATTTGTGTATCCTTTGAATGCTGGATAATTTTCTACTCCAGCAGTAACTGAATCACATAGGATCACATACCAGCCTCAGTTCCTTCTGTCTGATCTCCAGAGGAATGAGCGGTGTAATTATAATTCCTTCTTCTTTCTTCATCTGTGCTTTTCTCAGTTTGCACACTTTCAAACTAAGTGGAACTATCACAGGTTTTATTTTTTACTTTGTACCTTGGGAACCATTGCAAATCATTGTTAGGAACTTCTTCCTGCTGTCCTGGGATTCTGTTCTTTGCACGTTTAACTTTTTAGTGCTATCATAACCATATTGCCATGTTGGCAAGCTTCAGGTTGTTTGTGTGTGGCGGTCGTTTCTTAACCTCCAGTAGAAGATGTTGCTCTCTGTATCGAATGGGTCCATACAGTTACAGCAAACCTTCTGTTAGCTTTGCATTCAAATCCTGCATGAAGAGTGGCATTATGGCCTTTGAGATACCATATAACAAGCTGCGCAGTGGGCTTTCAAAGCAGGTGGATGTTGTGCCATACTGAAATGTGATCTATTGTGTATGTGTCATATACACTGGTGTCCGATAAATCCTTTTTAGAGCTAACAGAGATCAGTGCTGTCAATGAACTTCCCAGACACAGCAATAAACTTCCAAGAACAAAATGGTTGAGCTGGCGTACAGTCTTTAGATATCTTCCATCACGAGTAGGTCATGCTCCTGCCATTTTGCAGAATCTAGCTTTATCCAGCTCAGCCTGCAACAAAATAATAAGCAAAATTTCTCCTCGCTGTAAATGTGGCAGTGGTGCTTCTGCTTGTAGAAAGTATACTGGTGAAGTTGCGAACTATTTAGTCATCTGCCTCATATCCTTGAACTGTGTAGTATTTCTGGTTAGATATGTGTTCTGACCTGTGGTGATGTAGTAATAAGAAATCTGGAGCAGACGTAGGCCTCTGTCTCTAAAGCCGCTGTTGATAATTGCTCTCATATAGGGGTTTATTGGTAGACCCGTTGTGGAATGAGGTATGCAGGAGGAATAAGACAGGCCTTACAGTGGGTAACTGAAGATTCTCATTTATAGTTTTGCTTCTCCACGTGGTTGTTTCCCAACAATGGTTAGTTCTGTTTTCATTCCACATAGTGTTTGGTGCAAGCATCAAAATGTTAACTGGTTAGTCCATTCAGAAATAGTAACAAATGGGAAGGGTTTTAAAAACAAATGAACAAACCCAATACTAAAGCCCATAGTTTGATTGCGAATCTTAATAGTTTTTATTTAAATTTTCTCTTAGGGGAAATGGTGGCACTAAAGAAAGTACGTCTGGATAACGAAAAGGAGGGGTTTCCAATTACAGCTATTCGGGAGATTAAGATTCTTCGACAGCTTAATCACCAAAGCATTATCAACATGAAGGAAATAGTGACAGATAAGGAAGATGCTTTGGACTTCAAGAAGGACAAAGGTATGTAGGCTAACATAAGGGTAGCTCTTTCTGGTCCCGTTCTTAATACGGTAGTCTGCTATGCTGAATTTGAAGTTAAGCTTCATTAAAAAATACGCTTGCAAATTGTGATGCTTGACAAGGGGTTTTAATTTTGATTTAATTACTAGTGGAAGTCCTTTATTTAACTCAGCTATGCCTTTTACGCATAGAAACATTTTGCAAATATTTTGTGGGATTAAAAAAAAAGTATTACTTGGTTCCAGTTTTGCTGGAGAGGAACAGATGTTTGACTCCTTGACGCTCAGATTAGGGAGGCCAGCAACAATAGGAAGCTCTTAATTGTGAGCTTTTTTTAACATTTTATTTTCCTCATAGTATTTTCTCATATCATTTAGAATATTGTAGGCTCAATGCTGAAGAGATGTTTTTCATTGTAGGCCTTAGTTTTGTATGAATTGTGCTTCAGTTACCTTTTTCATAATTGGGCGTATATGTCTTGAAGGCTAGAAGAAGGATAAATGACAAAAATGAACATCAAGATTTGTTGGGGGGTGGTGGTGTTTTTCCCCAAATAGAAGGCATGCGTGCATGCTTTTACTTTTTTGGTTCCTTCAGTGTTACGTCTGGCTTATTTGAGTTACTGCAGCCTCCTTAGAGAATCAATCAAACAGAATGCAGTGTTGTTGCTTTGTACTTTTGATATTGGAATGGTCATTTTGTCTTTAGAGGCCATTTTCTTTTAGGTCCAAGTTTTATAAACCTATCATTTTGGGGTATTTTAGTATCCTGTGGACAATTTGATACATGGTTTGCTTAGCGGAGGGTGTTTGGAATGCAGTACTTCTGCTTCTTCCCTGCTCTCCCTCCCCAAGTTTCTATACAGCGTGCCCAGCACCAGTGTGGGTAGAAAATACCGTGCGCGTTGCACAGCCAGCAGAAACACCAGGTGATGTTGTGATGAGTCAGAAGATGACTGTCAAAATTAAGCAGGAATTAGTTTGAGGTTTTTTCCTAGCATCTTCAGAAAGTATACTACCTTGAAGGCTATACAGCACCAGCAGGCTTTTTCTTGTGTTTAGAAGTAGGAAGCATCTGGCAAAAGAGTTTCTCTAGATACATGCAGGTTCAGTGGTCAGCATACACTCTGAATGAACCCTGACAGTCTGCAACAGCCAGTTTAGGCTTTTCATGTGAATCTTGTACTGAGTTTTAATTAGGTCTAACCTACTTGGCTAATGAGACCGCAGTGAGCTTTGACTTAATACTTAATGACTCATTAATTAATTTTCTCCCCTTCTGTTTGGTGCCATGTCTAGGATTGAATTGTAAATTTTTTGGTGTACTTCAAACTGTGTGTCTCATTAATTTAAAATGCTGTTGGGTTTTTTTTGTCCAAGTCTGTATTTGTGCTTTTGATATTGCTTTCAATATAATTTCTCTTTCTTATTTAACAGCTTATTAAAACAATTACATTTTCAGAAAATTTGCAAGGGCTTCTCTGGAAATGTTAGAATAAAATTATTTTCTGATAGTCTCTTGAAACCATTAGCATGATAATGAGACTGTGCTATTATGATTTGTCTGTGAAAAGATGGAAGTTGTTTTGTTTTGTTTTTTTTCAGGCACTGCATTCTGTATTTCTCTAATGAGTAGTTCATTGTGAGATGGAGATTTATAGCTGAGACGTTGTAGCCAAATTGTAGTCTACGCAGGGAATGCAAGTGGGAGGAAGTTTGGTCACTTTCACGGTAAACCATTGCAAACGCAAAAGTAGGCTGCTTGGCTTAGGAAGGAACCATTACAAAAGTGAGCAGAGTTTATTATTTAAGCAGAGTTTACAGTAGAAGTGTAAACATTTGCTCGCTTAACGTATGTTATATGCTTATCTTAGCTTTGGAATATAACTAAGAGTTATAATATAACTAAGAGTTATATTTTGTAAGACAAAACCCTGCTGAAATCTCATTTGTAAAAATATTTTCCTAAAATCTCAGAACTCTGGTTATTTTTGTTGGAAATGTTTTCTTCTAGTAATCTAGTGCAGGAGCAACTGTGAGTGCCAGTCTTCGACAGTAGTATAAGCAGCTTGACACTGTTGGTGCTTACAACTAAGTCTGCTGGCAGCTAAACTTTCCTACACTTTTCCTTTTTTGCTTGATGGTAGTTCAAATTAATTGGAGTTCACGTTCATGAACTTCAGTTCATGTCCTTTTGGACCAGAATTCTGCGCAGCAGGACTGTACTTTGCAGAAGCTTTTCATCTTCTCTTAGCATTTTTTTTTTTTGTCTGAGAAAGTTTGTGTGACGTTCTCTGTGCAACAGTAAGTGAAGAAAACAAGATTTAAAACAGAAGCTGAAAACAAAGAGCTATTTCCTAGATATATGCAAATCTATACACCTCATAAGCTAAGTTAGTTGAGCCACTTCATCAGTTATAAAGTGAATAACTGGAAAAAAGGCCCTTGTTTCGATGGGCTTTTGTCAGCCCTGGTCTGTTTTCTCAGTGAGTCTGTCACCTAAATGACTTATGTGTCTCTTTTTCTTTGGGCACCTGAGATGGTCCTTCAGTTCTGAGTTGCCTCTTTATCAGTTGGAAGCTCTTTGCAAGTGCTCAACAGCCTAGTTGAGGGACTGCTGTGAGCTCTTTTTCCTAAACACAGGGAGAGTGCCTGACTTAGCTTTTGTTGCTCTGAATGTAAAAACAGTAGGTGTACTGACTGACATCTCTCCCTCCTGTTGACTGGAAGAGGTATTTTCAATTGCTAACCCAAGGGAGGATGTAAAACTTTGCATGGGAGGCTCTAATAACAAAGATCTGGTTAACATCACAGCTTGCATTTTCTCCTGTGTGTGGATTATGTTTGGATTGTGTGTGTTTCTATAATTCATTAGATCTGATTAACATCACAGCATGTTCAGGTTTGTTTTTTTTTTCTGTGTGTGGATTATCTGTTTGGATTGTGTGTGTGTGTGTTTCTATAATTAATTTTAAGATAAAAGTTTACTTTAGATTAAATTTTGAATTGATTTGCAGTACAAATTAACAAACCTTTTTAGGCATGAAGTTAGTATTTATCCTGACAGTACTGTAGTACGCGTGGACACTCTTACTCCGTGGTACATTGTCGTATGGCTAGCAGGTTATTTTCTCACAGCTGTCCGAAAGCTTGTTCTCATAGTCTGTCCGAAAGCTTGTGGTTTGGAAGGAGTCTGTGACAGCAATCATGCAGTCATCGGAGAGTACTTCACTACAGGGTTCTTTCTCTACTTGTACTGTAGCTAGCTTTATCTGGGTTTCCTGGGAAGTTGACTAAAACCAAACTGATCTGAATTTCAGAATTCTTCTGCAGCTTGCCTTGCTGCTCCCAAAGTAGCCAATAGAAACTTCTTACCCAAATAGTTTTTAGGCTACAGCTAAGTTATCAGGAATAGTGTGACAGCTTGAGTGGTGCTTCCCGTTTGTGTGTGCTGTACTGAACTCTCGTCTAGAATGAGTGCAGACCTAATTGCAGGGCTTTTCAACTTGATCCACGTTATGGCAAAATGAGAAAAATCCCTGATTATTAGTCAAAGTTTTCTGATATGTTTGGTTTACTTTTCTACTGCTTTAAGATTTTTCTTCAGTTTCTTATTTCCCTATAGTATGTGATGAAACAAGGACACTTTCATAGAATCATAGAATGGTTTAGGTTGGAAGGGGATTTAAAGATCATGTTGTTCCAACCCCCCTGCCATGGACAGGGACACCTCCCACTACCAAGTTGCTCAAAGCCCCATCCAGCCTGGCCTTAAACATCTCCAGGGATGGGGCATCTACAGCTTCTCTGGGCAACTTCTTCCAGCACCTCACCACCCTCATAGTGAAAAATTTCTTCCTGATGTCTAATCTTAATCTACCCTCTTCTAGTTTGAAGCCATTGCCCCTTGTCCTATCACTACATGCACTTGCAAAAAGTCCCTCCCCAGCTTTCTAAGTGCAAGTAAAAGGAGTAAGGCGAGGATTTTTTCCATCCGAGTCTCCTTTATTTATTGCTTACCTCCCTAGTAGATTCAGCTGCTATCTCTTATCCCATATTCAGACATAGGCAATATTACTACTGTTCAGCTGCTCCAGCTGCTGGTCCGTCAACATGCAGGGATGTGAAGGTTTCTTATCTCAAGAGATGAAGGAATGGAGATGAGCTGTGTGGTATTAGCAAAGGAAATGAGGCACCCAAGACATAAATGCCCTGTTAGCGCTTTGTTGCAGCATGTGGAAATGGACTCTAGGCTGCTTCCCACCCCACAGGTACTTAATAATTGGGAAGTGCAGGTCTTTAACATAACAGCAGTAAGTTGAGTAACGTTAAAGTCAAATAAGTAATTCTGGGTTCATTTGACTTGTATGCACTTTACAGTAACAGAGCTTAAGGGTTTTTTATGACCCTGCTTCCAGAAATGTGGATGTTGGGCAAAGCTAGCATGAATAAAGGGTCATTTTACAACGTAACTGCCAAGTTATCAAATGTCTTGGCCTCACAAAAGAAAGAATGATTATTTTTTGTTATGTTTTCCTTTTGAGAAATGTGTATTTGTGTGGTGTTTGTTTTTATTGAACTAAAAGATGCTGTGAAGTCGAACTCAGACTGTGCTGTAGTAAGCAGACTTCTGCCTCTGCATAGTTTACTTGTGAAGTTCTCCTTGACTATTTTCTTCCTGAATATCTATAGCTTCTTTCTGTGTTCTGAAGGATCAGATCCCCCGATCGGATGAAAAGGAATGGAGATTTGAAATGATCAAGTGGAATAATGCAACTGTTTTGTTGACTGAAACTCTAGGTCTCTATTAGAAAAGGGCACCATGTTTGTCTAGAAATAAACTACCAGAAGTTTCACTTCAGTTTGCTTGATACCTTTTCTGCAGCTACAATCCCTTCCAAATCTAGTCTGAGTAATACTGAAAGTCAAGTTTTAATGGTTAGACTGCCATGGCTAGTAGACTAATTTTAGTAGTTTCTCATAACCAACAAAGAAGATTCAGCTTTGACGGTTTTTCTTTCTTAAACAAATTCTAAGATTGTATAATATGTAGGTAGTAAATAGGTAGTAATGTGTAAGTGCAGTGGACATTTGCTCTTGCTCTTGCTCTGATAGGGAAGGAACATTTAGTGTTTATACTGTTCTAGTGTATGTTTCTTGCAGAGAATATAATCGGATGTAATCTCCCATGTGCTACTCTGTTTTATTTATGAATTGTCTCCGTTGTTGTCAGCTTTCCTTCTTGCATGAGGGTACCAAATGTGATTACTGGTTACAAATAGTAGTGAAAAATCCTGGGAGCTAGTGGCAGAGCAGGAAATTGCTCAAGGCATGAAGCCTACTTTGCATATAAACAAGACGATTGTTAAACTGTTCTCACTAAACGGGTCTGCAATCCCACTGACCCTTCCCAGTCTTTCTCCTTGTCATGTACACACAGAGTGTAGCCTACTGCCATGACAGAGTTAACTTTTCTTTGTATTCCAGGGCAAGAAGACACTGAGATCATTGGTATTCAGTTTTGCTGAGCTGACATCCTCTGAAGGGCATATCTAGATTATTCTGGCACTGCAGCATTAATATCAGGTGTTTTGTTTCAAGGCCCTTTAAAATATGTCATGGTTCATACTTCAGCAGTTGTCAGTGAAGTAGACCTAACACCAGGTTGCCAGCTGTCTTGTTTTAAAAGACCAAGATTAGGACCCTCTGTGCTTTTACCATGCTGAACTGGTGAACTCGGTTATGCAAATAGTAACACAGCAGACTTTGGTTCTTTGTGGCTCTTAATACTTCCTTCTTTCCTTTTGAAGTGGTAGGATCATGTTGTACCTGCTTGGTTTACCTCCTGCTCTACCTCCTATGTGCACATCAACAGGGATATTTTATGATCAGTATTTTGCTTCTGCCGTATAACATACAGCAGGACAAAAGGACCTAAATTAAAACCAATGAACTCTGAGTGTCTTATGTAACGGCCTGTGGTTTAGCTGCTATACGCTGATCTTTGTTACAAGTTTAACAGTTACTGTACCAATAGTCTTTTTTCTGTTTGTTAAATAGCAGATGGATTTAGCACTCTCTCTTCCCTTTTCAGCTACTGTGCAAGACAACAAGTTAGTTCATTAGAATTTGGATCTCTGTGTGTGTGTTCTGGCAAGCTGACTTCTCATTATTGCTCCAAGACTTTCACTAGCTTCTGAATTGAAACTTCTTATTTAGGAACTAGAACCTGTAATGAGTTCTTGTTGGGCAGAAGCTGTTTGTGCTTTAGAGTGGTGGCTCTTTGGGGGAGGCTTTTGAAAACGGAAGGTAGACAGACTCACTTGCATGTGGTTTCTGCCTTGCCACCGGTGCTCTGTAGGGGCTGCATTGCCTTCTCTGCCACAGAGTTAAGAAGAACTGAGGGTGGCAGAGCACTGGCACAGGCTGCCCAGAGAGGTTGTGGAGTCTCCCTCTCTGAAGACATTCAAAACCCGCCTGGATGCAGTCCTGTCCAGCCTGCTCTAGGTGAACCTGCTTGGGGGGGGGGGGGCTTGGACTAGCTGATTTCCGAAGGTCCCTTCCAACCACTACTATTCAGTGATTCCATGAATTAAGTACTAAAAAGCAGATTGTACTGGGAGTGGTTGTACTGGAGACTGGTTCTTGCTGCTTCTGAAGCACTCAGCGCTTTTCCTCTTTAGGAATACTTGTATATATCAAAGAGCCTTGACTTTAATAGCTTTATTTGTGGAATTACACAAACTAATGTGAGATAAGACCAGATTCTATTATACTTACTGTATGTATGTGGCAACTTGGAATATGAACTCCATCTTTGCAGAGCCGCCGTTGCTAGTAGGTTAGTTCTGCTTTCTCATTTTGTCTTTTTATAGGTAATTTTAGTCTGAGAAGGGTAGGCTTATTTCTGACCCAATTCCACACTGAAAGCTTAAAAAAATCAGTCACTGAATCGTGACAGATGGACTAATGCTGTACATGTTTTGTTTCTAGATTTCTCCCCAAACTTTACATAAGAAATATTAACCTGGTTAACTTTTCTTTAAATAAAACATATGGAGATTGAGAGCCATAGGGAGAGTACATGTCCATCTAGATTAAATGCCAAGTGGTAGCATTGTATTTGTTTGCACAAACATTTCACTAGTGCAATGGTTTACATGGGAAAGCCATTTTATGAAAACATTTTACTGTGCTATATTTCATTGCTGTTATTGGACATAAAGTACAGCTACAAATACTGCATAAAATGTAAACAGTTGTGTGAAAAATACTTCCAACTTCCAAAAGTGAGGATCAGCAATACTTTGGACTGCAGTTAAATCAAATTCCCTCTGTTTCTCCTACCCTTTCCCTTTCTTTTCCTAGGTGCATTTTACCTGGTATTTGAATACATGGACCATGACTTGATGGGACTGCTGGAATCTGGTTTGGTTCATTTTAATGAAAATCATATTAAATCTTTTATGAGACAGCTGATGGAGGGCTTGGCCTATTGCCACAAGAAGAACTTTTTGCACAGAGATATCAAATGTTCAAATATTCTACTAAATAATAGGTATGGCTATTATTTGAAGTATGTGGGGGGAAAAAAAAGTGTGTTAACAACATCTTTAAATCTTTCTTTTAGTCTTCACAGTTCACCTGATTTAAGTCCTTAGCAAAAATGTTTTTTAGATTGCCTAGTTTCTTTAAAATTAATTGTAAGATACTAATCTGGCAATGTTACCTGCATAACACTGGATCCTGCAATTGTTTGTTAAACTTATCTGTGTTAAAAAAGCAGAATTAAAACTTGAATCTTTTAGGTTAGAGTAGGGGGGGAATTATGTGAGTTCAAATATATTAAAAAAGAATTTTAGGACACAAGTGTTTGACATGTATTCTTTTGCCATCTCATTTCAAGATGAAGTGTGGCTAGGCTGGTTCCTCGCGACATAATTCTGAGGTCTTTGTCTTCATCAGTCAGGATAATGCTTTAAAAGAATATTCCACCAGGCGTGTTCAAACATGCTTTGGGTTGCACTTATAGCCGTAATCAAATGGGGAGAAGAATTTGTTTCTTACTTCTTTGACCAGTTGTAATTACAAATCATATTAGTAAACATGATTTTGTTCAGTGTGCAAGAGCAGCAAATAAAAAGCCTGTGTGAAGACAGCAGATAACTTCAGTACAGAACTGTTGTTCATGAAATCCAGCAGTAATAAAACCAGGGAGCAACTGTAAGAGCGAGGTTTATAACAGCCAAAAAGAGTATCTCTACAGAGCAGGTAGTCAGCCTCTGGAATTTGCTGTCGCAGGAGGTTTTCCGGGTGGTGTCAGGAGATTTGAAAAGATGAGACACATTCATGGATGGGATCATTAACACCTGTTAAAGGGAATAGACAGGAATATCTGTTTTAGCATCCTTAACACAATGATTGTGGGTAGTGGTGAAGTAGAAGGAAGATGAGGCCCAAAGTGAGCAGGGTCACATGTTCTCCCTAAAAAAATCTTCTGCCGTTGGAAACGAAATACTGGTCAAAGTGGATCAAGGGTCCCTTTTGGTAGGGCCCTAGTTTTGTCCAAGCTTTCTCCAAATTAAATTTTCCTTTTTTTCTTCCTTTTTTTCTCATAACAAACTAACATCAGGCTCTGATCCCCCCACAGTTGCTAGATTATGATACAGTCTCTTGAAGAGATGTAGACGTGCCTCCATATCACTCACTGTGACCACACAGTCGGCTTGCCTGCTAGTCTCCAGTGATGGTGCTGTCTGTGTACACCTTTGGGAACTCAGAAGTTAAGGTGTAACCTGACAGTGGAGAAGAGAGCTTTATGGTAGAGGTGGAGCTTTCTGTTGTACTGTGCTCTCTCCAATCCAGGATACAGAGTTTTTTCCCCTAGGATATTTTTTGAGTGTTTCCACTAGGAAAAGAAAAAGTTGATTGTTGATATAAATTTCAAGACGCTTCTTCTAAAATCCCATTACAAGTTACATATGGATTATATATCATTTAGGTGCACAATTTTAATGCTTTTGCTTGAAAATTCATTGATCTTCCACAAACATGCTCTCTGAGGAATAAGCATGTAAATTTGAGGGGAACATTTCTTTGTTTATGGGGCTTTTCCAAGTGTTACAGCAATTCCAAGCACACATCCATAGAATGGAAACTATAACCTGTGTATTTATTACCACAAAATGGTCATTCTTACACACATCAGCAAGTCTTGCCCTAATTTGATAAAATAAAATTTATTAGAAAGTGACATTTGCTGTATTTGAAAGTGACAGGAATTTTAAAAGCTCATAAGTACAGAAAAACGAAAACTCCGTGTAACATTCCAACATGCATTTCATGTATTAGAGAAGCTTGCAGATAGCTTTCTGTTTGAATCGTTGGTCGTGACACTGGTCATTGAGCATTGCCTTTTAGCTGTAGAAACTGCCAGGCAAGAGCTCTATATCTTCTACTCTTCCCCTTATATATGGGAAAACTCAAGAAAGGGTTAGAGGTTGTGTCATTCAGCACGTTGGCTGCTGGCAAAAATAGATGCCCTTATCTGGTCGGTCACCCTGATGTAAGGTTTAAATACAGCCTTTAAAAGCGCGGAACAGGACTTCGACGGCTTCCTAGAAGGAAGTATGACTGCTGATAGTTGTTTGTTGTACAAATGCTTATGTTAGCAGTAAGGCTTGAAAAAATAGCAGTTTCCTCCCTCATTTGTTTTCCTGCAGAGTTACTCATTTGAAGACTTTACATTATACACCTAAATTTTGACTAACATCTGGTGATGTAAATGCCATTTGTCGAGCATACCTATTTTTGCTTACTTGTCTTTGCTATTCAGTAGGTTAGTGTATTTGTTTACTGAAGAGATGCATTGATTGTAAGGCATTGCCTCCTCATTAATGTGGTTTGGTGAAGATCAGTTGCAGCTGTCTCAAAATCTCAAATTTTGCCTGATTTTTGAGAAGGAAATCTAACAGGATTAACCACTAAGTAGTTCTTTGCTTTTTCCACCAGAGGGCAGATAAAGCTTGCAGATTTTGGGCTTGCTCGGCTGTACAACTCTGAAGAAAGGTAAGATATAATTATACTTTGAAAAAGCATTCAGAAGTTTAATCTTTTTGCCTAATTTAAGTATTATGAGGGCCAGAAAAGAAAGACGACTGTTTTGTTTAGAGGAGATATTATTGTACTGTAATACAAGTAATTGCTTAGGAAATGGAAAGAAGTGCATGTTGTCTTAAACTGCATAAAACCACAAAACTGTCTTTGTGCAAGTGTATTGCTTTTCCAAGTGTACTGGATACATAACTGTAGAAAGTGGCCATATATTGATTTGAAATGAAGAGTTGCAGTCCTAAGTAGGTTGCATCAATATGTAGGTTTTTACTATTAGTTTCTGGCCTTGTCAACGTAAAGTATATTCTTTCTGTTGGTGTACCTAGCAAAAGTTTATTTAGGTAAAGCAAATTTTTTTTGCTGACATAAATTAGTGTACAGTTTCTTTTCAAACAGCGTTACTTTTGTGTAAGATTTAACTTTGCATTTGAAGAGGCTCACTGTATTCTTTAGGCAGCCAGTGCTGTTGAATCTGCTGGAAACAGAGATACAAGTTTAAATAAAAATTATTCTGAAACTTGTTGTGACTTGTGCTTCTGTTGTTCTTGGCTTCGTTATGCTTGTACTCCAGGAAACAGCTGCACAGTTTTTATGATTAAGAACTTCAGAATTGACGTTATAATGTTGTGTGTTTGTCATGTGGAACTGGATTTTCAAAATTCAGGCTGAATATTCATTACAGTAATATGGACATCGGGTGGTTGGATACAGAGAATATTAGCTCCCTGAGCTTGCTTTGATTTCTGTGTGCCTAATTTGGGAAATAATATCTATAATGTTAGATTTGACTTTATTGTTTTCTCACAGACCTCTAAGCTTGTTGTTGAACCTGGTAGCATTAGTTTCACTGTCTTCTGAGATGTTACTTCAGGAATATATGCTTAAGTACAGTTATGAAAGCTGTTGAGTATACTCGCAGGGTAAAGATAATCTTAAGCAGCTGCTGAGTAATTAATTTTCGTTTTGGATGTACTTATAATAAAAGGATTGATGCCATCCTACCTTCTTACTTTAACCTGTACCAAATTGACCTAATTTTTTTTCCTCTGTTTTACCTTTCTTTTAATGTCTGTTTTTAAATTAATTTAAATTTTACTTGTAAAGCTAACTGTTCATTAAGAATTGAACGATTGAAAGTTCAGTGTCTTTATAGTGCAAATAGCAGATTTTACTGTATATCAAACAGCAACGTTTTTATGCCATTATACATAAATGAAACCAAGACTAAAATGTAATTATGCTAGCTAATAGAATTGCCAGTTGAACTTGGGAGGATGATTAGAATCTCATTAGTAGATTTTTGACAGTTCTTTTGTCATTCATTTTCCTTCTGAGTAGCTTCTGACCTGCAGTAACAGACATAATTAATATATACTAACAAGTGTATAATAGCCGCTGCATTAAATTAATGTATTTTACATTTGGTTTATGGTTGTTTAGAATTATATACTTTTCAAAAGTATACAGAATTTAGTAGGAATATAACGTGGAGGAAATAAAGATTTAATTTTAAGTAAATTTCTATCGGTTGTTTTAGCTGTGCTCCTTTAAATGTTATTCTGGTGGTTTTAATACATTTGGAGTAGGAGATATGACAGATTGTGTAAGAAAACATCTGTTCAAATAAAAAGCACCATATACTAATATATGTGAGTGGTGTATCTGTAGAGAAAGTCCATACCATGTAAACATTTCATAGAGGAATGCTTGCTTCACAGATAAATACGATAAATGATGGGATTGTTTCCAGAAAAATACTACATTTTAAAAATGAATTGGGGAATTTCTTAATGAAAAAGAGACTTGGGTGATTTTGCAGAAATGATACCTGTATCTCTGAGTATGTTATAAGAGCTTGTTAGACTTTATGCTACTGTTGTTCAAACTCCATACTTAATGTTACGCTGCTTTCTATTTGGAGTTACCTAGTGTTGGTAAGAGTGAATTATTAAAACCGAAAGAATTTTGGGATCACTTTTAAGATACCCTGGTTGAAACAAACCCAGAACCTAACATCTGTTTTCTGCCTTCCGTTCTGAACTGTTGATGCTGTATCTCGGCCTGTCTACAAAGCAACGTATGTCTAAGATAGTGGAAATCTTTGCCTTAGTGCGAAGGTGGAAAGGATTATTCCTGGTGACAAAAAATTATGGTTAGAGCTGTAGAGAATTAAAGATGTTGTGAAATACAGGAAGATATTGGAAATGTTCCAGGCTTTGGAATCAAAATTGTTGAAGGATGTAGTTCAAGAAAAAGGCTTTGTTTCTTTTACTTCTGCTTACAGATGGGAAAGTGACTTTTTTTTTTTTTCCTTTTCTAACTGCTTGTAGAGGTCCTATATTCAATATTCTAATAATCAATAGTTGCCCAGAAATTAATGGGTTTATCCAGGTCTTTCTCCTGAAATGACTAGCAATGTAATAAATATACAGTAGTGCATCTTCAATCTGTCCTTTGATAGCCTTGGTCAGAAAGTTGTGTTTGCTGTTGTGCAGTTGCAGCTTTGCAGGACTAAATTAGGAAAAGGAAGTGGAAGATTGTGGTGTTCTTTAACAATACCACAGAAGTAAGGTCCTCAAAGTATCACTTTTTCAGAAATGATCATAGTAAAATGATAGTCCTCTCTTTTTTCCTCCCCCAACAGCCGACCATATACCAATAAAGTTATTACATTATGGTATCGACCTCCTGAACTTCTGCTTGGAGAAGAAAGATACACACCAGCTATCGATGTCTGGAGCTGTGGGTAAGAGTTCGGTACAGAAGTGTAGCAAGCATAAAAACAAACCAAAAATAAATCTTAAATGTTTCTATTGATCTGTATTGAAAGTCATAATGATGGAATTGTGCAAAACTATTTTCCAGCTGCATCCTGGGTGAACTTTTTACAAAAAAGCCAATATTCCAAGCAAATCAAGAACTTGCTCAACTGGAACTTATAAGGTAATTTGCAAGCACTGTCACACAATAGGTGCCTCATAAACTGTCAGGTTTCTTTTGTTAGTGTTAAAATTGGAGATAACACACTGCAAACATTTACAAGTACTCAGTTATCGCCCTGAGTGAGATGTTAGAGGTTTTGAGGGGCATGTTAAGCAAGTGACTTTTGCTTAGACACGGAGAAGGGTTTGTTGTGAGTATTCTGTGGTCCTAGCAATGTACAGTTGAATAGTAAGAGGGTGTTTTGTAGAGCAGCTGGAGTTGCCTATTACTGAAGTTGTAAAGAGAGAGTAGTCAAAATGCCTGTTATTTTTTAAGATGATGTTACAACTTCCTTCAGCAAGTCAAAAAGAAAACATGGACAATATAAGGACAAGCGGGATTTGGGAGGAGTAGGTACTTGGCATGCTACTGGCCTTGAGTTCTTGTTTCAAGCCTTCCACATACACACCTGGGTTTTACTATTTTTGTGGGAATATTTCTGTTCCCTTACAAACTGCCACTTTATGGACGTAAAAATTCTGTTTCTTTCCTTATCTCAATAAATCATAAAATGATATGTATAAAACTCAGTGGAACCAGAGCATCTTTTTTTTTCCCTTTATTCAGCAAGCAAAAATTGCTCTTGATTCTGATATCATAATTGACCTCGTAAGTGAGGAGAGGTCCTCTTCCTAGAAACAAGGGGAAAAGAGGGTGAGTCCTACAGAACTTATAGAACCTGAACAGTAAATTGTCAACATTATTTTAAATTAATTAAAAATATTATGAAGTTATATATGGAGATGCTTTTCAAAACAAATTTAAAAGTAGCATGTTTCTGTGTAGTGTGTTATTAGCTGGCCTGGAAAAATGAAGTTTTTAGGAGGTGCAAAGCATATCAGTGGTCATTCTCAGTGTAAGGAGAACGAAACTTGTGAGTTGGGAAATTTTTTCTTTTGAGCACTAGATGGCATTGAAGCACGTCACACGGCAGTCATTTGAAGCTTTTTCTCTTTTGTTGTACCTCTGGTACACCAAATTAAAATTTTTTTTGTTTCCTTCTCCTGCAGGAAGCTACTCTTTGGGGCTCACTTTTCCTTTTCACTGATGCCATGCATTTTTGGCTGTTTAAATGTAATATATCAATTTTATCAACGTCTCTACCACCATCATGTTACAGTCAACAATTCTACATTTATCCTTTCTAACTTTAACATTTGAAGATAGAGCTGAAGTAAATTCTGATAGGAAAAGATAGATTTATTATTTTTCTTTTCCCTCCTGAAAGTTACATACCCCAACCAGCATAAAGTCAGATTGGTTTGCATAGCATTCAGGGCATAACTAATAGATCATTAGGTCTCTTACACTAACCGTTTAAATCTACTAAATGGGAGGGGTGAACTAGGGAAAGGTATTTGCAAAATGTCCTCTTATGACTGCCTGCATCAGAGTTTGAAACCTTGCATGTATAGTAAAATGCCTCTTTAGTTCTTCGTCTCAGAAGCGTGGTGTTCATCAACTTAGCTTAGCCGTCCTCGGCTGGACAAAATGGGCAGGGGTGGAGGGAAGGAATAAGACTATGGGCAGCTCCATTTGTGGAGATAGATGAGGCTTGAGACAAACTCATAACTGAAGTAAAAAGTATACAGGTTTTCTAGTGGTCAGATCTTGGTTTTGCCCTTAGGCTTACTGAGATTCCCCCCCCCAATGTCTTCAGTGTCAACTAAATTCTCAGGGAAAAGTACTTTTTCAGCCAGTTGTTGTGTCTTTCTTCGCTGGCATTGGGAGTTGAGGACACAGAAGTTAATTAGCACTCTAAACCTGGGCTATCCAGTTCTCCCAGTCAAATACCTGGAGTACTGTTCAGACATGGTTGGTTAAGCTTTTCAAAACATTTGTGTGAAGGATGTCTGGGGTGGGGTGAAGCAGAAGGAGTGGACTTAAAGTAAATCTAGTCTGTGTGGAGTGATTATCTTTCACAGACAATTCACCATTATTTAATGGTGTTGGTCATTGGACGGTAGAGAAATTTTAGCTGAAAAGAACCTGAACAATAAAAATTATTTTTGTATTCACTGTACATGCAAGAATAAAATGACAGCTGTGCTCACTTGTGGTTTTGGATCTCATACCCTTTTTTCCCTTCTTTTTGGTACAGCCGAATTTGCGGGAGTCCTTGTCCAGCAGTGTGGCCTGATGTTATAAAATTAGCTTATTTCAACACAATGAAACCAAAGAAGCAGTATCGTCGAAAACTGAGAGAAGAGTTTGCTTTGTAAGGATGAAGAATTAGTTTAGTCAACTGTAATAACATTAAGTTTTCCTGGAGACTTTATGAACTTCACTATTTTCTGGAAAATGAACATAGATTAAGTGTAAAGAAAAATGGCTTTAGGTTCTTATCCTTCCCGTGATACCCACAGAGCTTGTATTAACCCTTATTTAATAGGAGCTTCAAGAAGAGGGCCCTAAAATTTCAGCCACCTGTTAGCTTTCACCTAAGGAAACATTTGTTCTCTGTGATTGGTACACCTGCTTGTTGTCCCCGTCCAAAAACCAGCTCAGAGTACTTAATTGTTTTTTATTAGGACAACTGGCTACAGCTAAATATGTAGCCTGGTTAACATTACAGTCCTTTGGGTCATAAATTCATTCAACACGGAGGAGTTATCTGAACCATGGTTTGTAAAATACTGCCATTGGACTAGTTTTGTGCAAATGTCACACGTGAAGGTTATGGAAAACAGCTGTAAGCTTATTTTAAAGGGTTTGTTCCCCTCTTTCGGTTACCATGGGTTTCAGGAGAAATGTATCATCCTGTTCATATTAATGAGACAGCATCTTTAAAGCAACAGAATTGTCCATGGACCAATCAAAACTGCAACTCCCCAGGTGCTGAATTCCAAAGTGTGAAGTAACAATGTAGTCTTGGCTTAAAAAGGTGGGGTGTTTGGTGTTGGTTTTTTTGGTTGGTTTTTTGTTTTTTGGGTTTTTTTTTGTAAGGGTAATGTTTCAAGCAATTAAACCACACAAAGCAAAGAAAGCTTGGGTTATATGCTTGCACAGGTAGTATGGTGAAGTTCATCTCTGCCTCTTACTACCAAATTCAGGTTATGAGTGGGTTTTGTTTGGATGTAAGTTGTCTGAGGACTTAATGGTCAGTCACTTTGGAAGAGATGTATTTATTAAAATTTTGCACAGAAGCGTGTGATTCAAAGTAAAAATGTGATGCTTTTCTCCACTTTTCTCTTTTGTAGCATCCCACCAGCTGCATTAGATTTATTCGATTATATGCTTGCTCTGGATCCCAGCAAGCGCTGCACAGCCGAACAAGCTCTTCAGTGCGAGTTTCTGCGAGATGTGGAACCATCTAAAATGCCTCCTCCAGAGTAAGTAATTTCCTTTGGTAATGGTCCTTACCTCTACAAAATGAGAACATGCACTGATTTCATTAAGCTCATTGTGTTTCAGTTAAAGTAGATGGTGGCAGAACAAATGTTGATACATACAGTTGTTTAATGGTGATTCTGCACTAAAATGGTTGTACAGCTGTATGACTCTTACACCGTGATAGCGGTGGTTGTGAGCAGTCATTCGCGCAACTGTGTCAACAAAATCAGGATTCTCTCTAACACTATGTAATTGTTTCTGATGTTGAAAAGCCATCATTTCGCTTTTATCTCTGTTTATCGGTGTTTACTCTTTCCAAGGGTTTTGAGGTCCTCCATGAATCTGAATTGCCTTCTTTGATGGTACAATGACACTGGGTATAGAATTCTGGGTATAGAAACCTGAGAGTTAAAGTGAAATACCATAAATCATTTCCTGTGCCAGTTGAGATTCTTGGTTTTACAGGCAGAAGTGAAATACTTTTGCGGAGGGTTTTTCCTTTCAGTTTCTCTGAGAGGAAGTGTGTTCCAATGTCTAGTAGGGTTTTTGCAGTGACTTAATTTTCATTTTAATCAGTACAAATCATCAAATCATATTGGAACAGGGCCTGAGGAAAACAATGAAAAGGTATTACAGAATCTGCAGGTTTCATTCTTCCCTTAAGACAGCTGTCAGAACATAGACCATTTAATATTGTTCGAGTAAATGTTCGAGTTTTATCTAAGAATTCTATTAAAAATCTTTCGAAACTTACCTGTTACATACACATGGTTGTCACAAATGCTTCTGATACATGAGGCTAAGAGGTTTCATTGCCTGAATATGACTATATATATCACTGTCTGAATATCAGTAATCAGCAATCTTAAGCTATTCACTAAAAATCTCAGACCCACTTGTACAGCATGTTGCTTATATGCATTTTAAAGTAAGGTAATGGGAAGAAATTGGTTTTCTTCAGGGGCTTGATAGAGCATCCTTTCTAGATGATACATGGAAATTCAAAACAAACTACTCACTGCTGTCCTTTTAAAAATTAAGAGGAACCACGCTTGCTCCTGACAGGGCATGCTCAAGAAAGTGTTGACTGTTCTCTTGAAAGACTAAAGTTCTGCTTTGGGGAGAAACAGCTATTCAGTCAAAGAAAGTGACAGTGGTGATTGCAAGGACCTCAGGACACTTCTCACAATGAGTTCTTGCTTCCAGTTGTTTTTGACTAAATGCTTGGCAGGTCTTTGTCCTGGTATGCAGAGGGAGAGCATAAAGGAACCATTTGTCATAATTGCCTTTCCAGTGGCTCTTGTCATCTGTCACCTGATTTTTCCCATGTGCCTGGGTGAGGCAACTGCTCAGACAGTTATAATAATATGTAATAGGAAAACAAAAGGCACTATTTTTAGTGCCATCTATGGGATGGGTCTCTGTGTTCCTCAGGAAATCAGAATTGGGGTACCTACAGAGAACCGTAATGGAAGGACAAGAACTGGTGGCAGATGACTTCCTTAGGAGACTTTTGTCTCTGCTTTTATCTGTCTTAAAGGACTGGGATATCCCTTTTTCTTCTGGTATCTTAATTTTGCTAGTGTCAAGTGCTGTTTTCTCCTGCAACTTTTTTTCTTTCTTCCCCCCCCCCCCGGGTTGTTTGTGCTGTACAACTATAAATGCTAGATAGCCATGTCTGTTACTGTGGACAAATATTTGAATTCGTGAGACAGGAGTACTTTTACAAGCAGACAAAAGGAATTGGTCACCTGGACCCTTAAAAAAACACTTTCAAATGAAAACTCGGTTATCTGTTACTCTGCAAATTCTGTTTTATAGCAAGTGTGCAGCATTGATTTTGAAGTCTTCAATTACACAAATAATTAGGCTTTTCATAAGTATGAATACGAGAAAATAACATTGATTGTTGTTTTAAGATACATGTTCCCCTTTTCTGAGAGAGGGACCTGTGCTTCTGAAATAGGCAATCAATGAAGAGATTTCAGCCAGAAAAAAAAAACCAAAACAGATCTGAGATTTTGCTGACTTTGAGTGTTTTCTGATGTATTTTCAAGTTCCAGTAGGTTCATCTTTAAAAAATTACATTATTTATAATTTGAGCATTTATTTTACCAAAGTGGTTAAAAAAATATTAAAAAAACAGAAAATCCTGGGATAAAACTGATTATCTCTAATCATTCCTTGCAGCCTTCCGTTGTGGCAGGATTGCCATGAGCTGTGGAGTAAGAAACGCAGAAGACAGAAGCAGATGGGCATGACTGATGACTCAACAGCAACTAAAGTCCCTAGGAAGGATCTTTCTCTAGGCATGGATGAGAGCAGAACCAACACCCCACAAGGCATGCAAACTTCTTCCCAACTCAAAACTCAGGGCAACTCTAGTGTAGCACTTGGTCAGTAATATTTTCGGTTCTTATCATTACCTTCTACTTGGATTGCACCTCTAGAAATTTTAGGTGTTATTTTCAGAGTACTGACGTCTCCTGGATTCTTGAGGGAGGAACAGTATTGTAAGTTAAATCTTTGTTACAAGAGTTTTACATTTCTTTTGAAAACTAGGCGTTCCTTTTCAGTTTTACTTAATTTTTCAATCTGGTCAGAGCATCTGTCTTGCTCTGTGTTTTGAAGGGGTTTTATCTCTTGCTCATCTATAATTCTTCTGTAATCCCACAAGTCAGCTGCTGCTCTAAGTTCTTCACAATCTCCATAGATTGGAGGAGCTTTATTGGTATTGACAAACTGATCAGAAGGCAGATTTTAGAGCAATCATCATTTCAAATGAAACAGATTCCCCCTGCATGTTACGTTAGTCTTCAGCTTTCCAAGTTGTCGGGGCTGAACCAAGTTGCAAAAAAACCCACCTAAAACTTGGTATAACAAGAAGTAGCTACCTCTGTAGATTGCACAGCCATTAATTCTGAAATATAACTGAAGTATCTTGCTTGGAGACCAATTTTATGATTATAATATAAAAAGTAAAGTAATGGTTTCCTGTGTGGACACCATTTGAGATACTCAGCAGTTCAGAGATAGTTCCTCATAGCAGGTAGCAATATACAGAGTAACTGCTAAATGGATACCTGGTACGTTTCATTTAGACCATTTTTGATTCTGCAAAGTGACCATAAATCCTATGGCACTGATAACATCAGTTCAGCTGAAGAAAAACAATAGATGCAGTCACACGGCCTGAAAATACTAACCATCTTGAATCAGCTCTTCATTTAACAGTAGAGATGAGCTCCAAAATGCAAAGATACATTGAAATTAGTTCTTTTGATCATATTTTATTGCAATTTATTACCTCTTGCTCTTGTTCGTCCCATTTCTTACTGTAAGCCAGCTGTGAGCTTCTGCCATTCTGTAGGTTTAGGCTAAAATTTTGGCAGAATTTTCAAGCATAACTTTCTGTAGCCCTTAAACCCCACCCCCACCCCCCCAAAATGAAAACTGTATAGAAGTTTAAAGAGTCCAAAGGATAGTAGTTATTTTCTGTGTGCTTTTATAACAGGTAGCCCAATGAGAGACTACTGTGTTTATTAGTCATCAATACTAACGATGCAAAATAAACTTTAAAAAAAAAAAAAAGGGAGAGAAGGAATCATTCAGACCTATGTTGCTGTTTGCCCATATGTACATAGAAAAACATATCTAGGTAAAAAAGAAGACAATTTAATTTTCGGTGAAACTTAAACAGTTCAGCATAGAGATGGTCTCTGTATTAAGCAAAACACTTCTGGAAGCCATAATGCACCTTAGATACTATCAATAAGCCACACTAAAGAACTTCCATGTACAAATGGATGCTTTAAACAAAACTTGCATTTGTTTCTGAGCACCCCAAAAGAAGAGGTTAAAAACACCTTGAATCAATTGCTAATGTCTGATTCTTGAATGGGAGCCCTGGTTATTCCATCTTACAATCTAACAGGAGTTATGTAGAGCTCAATAATTCTGTTCTGGTAGAAACTGCCACATCTCCCAGAATACAGGTTGCTCTTGGAATGGAGTTGAAACTAACCAAAGAGTATGGAATAGGTAGATAATTTTCCCTGTTTGGCATTTTTCTGCTGAATTTTCATTGAGAGTCTGAGTGAAGTTTGTGTGTTGAGCGTAACATCCTCAGATGTTAAAAACATCAACTGTTAAATCTGAGCGAGAGGCAGCAGTACAAGGCATTAGCAATGATGTTTTTTTCTGTATTGACAAATAAAAGGTGGTTTTATTTTTATATTTAAATATCTAAAATTGTTGGATGTCCCTGGATCCTGCCTGGGTAGGTTCCAAGTGCTTGTATCCTGGTGCACATCCACAAGGAGGGTAGTGGGTTGATGGTTTTGCAGTACTTCTGAGCTGTGCTGCTCTTAGTCTTGAAAGGCAAATACTTAATATTTATTTGTGCATGACCATTTTTTCAGGCATGGCTTTGAATCTGCTGTGAATTAATATATTGTTGAATTAGGAGAATGGAAGGGATAGAAGAGGACAGAATGTGTTTGTGTTGGTCTGGCTTAAAAAAAATTCAGGGCTCTGCCAGCAAAGTCACACACGATCATTTTTTCATTTTTAACCACTTTCTTCTCTAAGTCATCTACTCATGGGGCACATTGAAATCCATGCTGCTTCACTTCTCCTTCCAAAATAAACTACCACAATGGGTGTTTGAAACTAAGAAACTACTTTGATATTCTGGCTTCCTTATATTCCCCTGCATCATCATAATCTCCTCATATTTGTGGCACGATCAATTTCATTGAAGAAATTGTATATCATCACAAATCTGCATTTGCCTGCTACTCGGTGATTGACTTCTTGTTTTTCAAACTCAGCACTTGCTTTTGCGTTTATACCGCTAGCATCTGGGTCACCTAGAGCCTGGTCACTTGAGCAGGTGTTAGAATCCAGATGCTGAATTAGAATGGGCCAGAATATGACTGGAAATGCGTTTTGCAGATGGCCACTTTTTAACAGAGGGATGTGATGTGTCAAAGATAGGAAATTTTGCGGGGATTGGAAATCTTACAGCTGCCTAAAGCAGGTGGCCTTAAGCCCCAGCTTAGTTGTATTGTGGAAAATTGAGCTCCGGCTTGATGTTTCTCATCTGTCCAAGTGCATGTGCACACCCCTTGGAAGTCACTTTCTTTATATTGGATCTTACTATTCCATTTCCTATAGGTGCTTCCCCAAAGGCAGTTAATATGTAAGCATTCCATTTCTATGTTGTCCAAACCCATGCTTTGCCAGTTGTGTCAGCCATGCTAGATTAGTCTTACTTTTGAGTTTCTGAAATGTGCCAGTTCTAAATAATACTTAAAAACACCTTTTTTGTCTTTAGCAAAAACAAGCACTGGACAGCAGTTAAACCAGAATGAAGTGGCAATCCTGCTAAACCTGCTACAGTCTAAAACAAGTGTTAGTTTGGCACAGTTTGCCCAAGTGTTGAATATTAAGGTAAACCCAGAGACTCAGCAGCAACTAAATAAAATAAATCTTCCTGCTGGAATTTTGTCAGCAGGTGAAAAACAGTCAGAACAGCAGCAGCAGCAGCCGCCGCCGCCTCCGCCACCACTGCCGGAACAGGAGCCTCTAAAACAGCCGACGGTCACGCAGCCTCCTGTACCACCTGCTCAGCTGAGTCAGCCTAAAGTTGAGACTGATGCTGCCCAGGCAGCTGTGCAGAGTGCATTTGCTGTTCTGTTGTCTCAGTTAATAAAGGCTCAGCAAACAAAACAAAAAGATTTTGTCATGGAGGAGAAGGAAAACGGATCAGGAAATGAAATGTCATTACAACTCAGGCAGCCTCCAGAGCCCACCACTCCTGTGTCCGTCAGCCGGGATGACGTGGAATCTCCAGCACCCGGCTACCCACATCTGATCAAGTCATTATATACGTCTGCAGGTACTGAAGGTCTTTATTGCTAACCGGCAGATACCTTGAGCAGTGGAGACATAATAGTTTGGGGATAAAGAGTTCACATGTTAACCATATGAGTCTGTGTCAGTGTAGGAGAGATGATTAAATTGATTTTGTCACATTTTACATCTGGATTGTAGAATTTCTGTCTTACTGTAACAGGTGCCGTGCAGACAGAGCAAAAGATGATTCTCGTCCTAAGAGGTACACAAGTGCTGGTAGTATTTCTGATGAGACAGTTACATTGATCGTTATTTTGGGTGCTTGGGGTTTTCTTAGTGGTGTTTGTGGTGAAGAATATAGTCTTCTCTAGAAAATTCATAGGTGGAATTTGCCAATTTTGACCGTGTGTTTAAGTGAAGCCTGTTTTGGGGAGAGGGTTGGGTTGTTTTGGGTTTTTTTGATGCTAATTAGAGCAATTTCTTAGTGTCAAATTCTGTAAGTGGTTACCCATAACTGTCATGAACACACATGGTTGAAGGTTTCTACTGGGGTATAGTAGTGGTTTCCTTAGACTTCTTGAAGTTTAGAGCTCTGTTGTTGATCTTTTTGGATTGCTGTTTCAGTTTTATTATATGGTGGTTTATGTATTGCTCTGTGGTGTTTGCAGCTGTTGAAAGAAATACTCTGATGTGGTTGGGGGGGGGTGTTCGGGTTTTTTGTGTTGGGTTTTTTTTTTGTTCATGTTTTTTTTTACCTTTAAGTTTTGCTGTTCCTTGATAGGTGGTCTTTCATCCCTCAAGACTTTTATCCCTATTTGCAAATCTTTTCTGGTTCCTCTTTGAATTTTATAGCATTTATGTGTTGCTCGAGTTTTTGTTTTGTTTTGCTTTTTTAAGGAACTTGTACTGTTTTTATTTAACTGCTTGCCTGATAATCTTAGTTTGAGGAGAAACCTGCATCACCCTCCTGAGGCAAATGAGCTGTTGCCTTCTCCAAAAAAATCTGCCCAACTACCAATACGTTTAACTAATAAGTTAATGAGAATCGAAGTAACAAACGTCTGTATTGTTCAAAGAAAGAGTTCTTTCCTTTCTGGTACTGTTATTGTATAGTTTTATTCCAAGCCTTTTCTTTTTTGATCTGCTTAGGTCAAGAGGATTTGGTCAGGCAGTCCGAGATGAGGCTTCTAAACCGAACACCCGAACAAGAACGCCCTCGGATCTTGCCTCCAGACCAGCGTCCCCCAGAGCCACCAGAGCCTCCACCTCTCACTGATGAAGACCTTGATTATCGGACAGAGAACCAGCATTTGCCTATAACTAACTCTTCAGGAACAGATCCTCACGCAGGAGTGAAGGCAGCTCTTCTGCAGCTGCTTGCTCAGCATCAAGCTCAGGCGACAACGGAGGAGCCAGTACAAACAAGCGTGGATTACCAGGCTAGAGACTCCTACATAACAGGCCCAGACTACAAGGATAACTTTGGATCATCTTCCTTCTCATCTGCCCATTATGGCAGTAGCGATGGAATAGGAAGCGGATCATCAGGAGCATTAGAAAGGAGGAGCTTCCTTGGAAACTCGGATATTCAGTCTTTGGATAACTACAGTACTGCTTCATCTCACTCTGGTGGTGCCCCTCCTCCGTCGGCCTTTTCAGAATCCTTTCCCAGCTCAGTAACTGGTTATGGAGACATTTACCTCAACACTGGCCCCATGCTATTTAGTGGAGATAAAGACCATAGGTTTGAATACAGCCACGGCCCGATCCCGGTTCTGGGGAGCAGCAGTGACGCTTCCGCAGGGCCAGAGAGTACGCACTCTTTGCCCACAAAGATGCACAACTATAGCTACGGAAGTAATTTACAGGAAAATCCCAGTGGCATCAGCCACATGCATGGACAGACTTGGACTTCTCCTGCCCAAGGACCTGGCTATTCCCAAGGATACAGGGGACACATTAGCACATCTGCAGTGAGAGGGCGAGGCAGAGGATTACCATATTGAGTATCTGTTTTTCCTCAGGCACATCATTTTTATCTGGAAAAACTTTTTTTTTTTTCCTAGCTGCAGTTTAAAGCAGCAATTCAACAGACTTGAATAATGTTAATTCAACAGCTTTATTTTTATGTGGAAAAGGGTCTTGCATACAGTAGGAAAAATTAAAAATGCTTAAAGCTCATGCTGTCTGAAAACTAGATTAATTGATTGTACATGTTCACAAACTCTAGTTCTGAATTTTATTTTGTATTTTGGCAGTTTTAAGTGGATGCTAAATTTAGGGACATCAGCTTTTTATGGCACTCTTTCAGATCTGAACTATGCACATTTGTGCTTTTTTTGTAAGTTTGGACCAACTTTTATGTAAAAAAAATTTTACAACAATCAAAGCAGGGCACTGATTTATTTGGTATTTTTCTTTTTACAGAACTACCTTTAGTCAAAGGTCACTGTCAGTCTTTGCACTGCTTTCAGTGTTATTGTGGAAGGTGTACTTTGTGCTCATTTCAGATAATAAAACACAACCTTTCTCTTGATGCAAAATTTTATAAATATTTGGTCAATGTTATTTTTTTCTTTCAAGGAAAAAAAAAAAAAGAATGGATGTTCTGGTAAAATGTTCTCTCCATCTCCCAGGCTTGTTTATATAAAAACTGTTTTACTTGAATGGTAAGTGCCTTAACATGTAAGCTTAAGGTCTGCAAAAATTTGGAAATACTTTATAGATCGATATGAAAATAACACCTAAACCTAGGTAGTTAACAGGAAAATTCAGATAATAGGCAACTCAAACAGGTCATAACCTTGTGCTGTTTACTTCACGTGGGCCAGTTATTTAGAGACCTAATCTTATCTTGATGAAATCATAATTTCCAAATTGAACTTCATGAGAAATGATGAAAGTGAGGAGAAGAATGAAGAGTGTAGTTTTTCCCCAGCTCCCTCTTGGAGTTGTAGTAAGTGTTTTAGTTCCTCTGCCAAATAAACTCCTTTATATGTCCTTACCAAGTGATGAAATAGTTTTTTCTCTTAAATGTCAACAGCAGTAATTACTTTATTTTGTGTGAAAAGCTGACACTGTCTTCTTTTTATCACAAGTACTGCATTATAGGAAGTAACCAAAGGAAAAATGACCAGTATTTAAAGCAACAGCAAAACGTTTGACGCTAGTTCTGATTCTCTGTAAACTTGTGATTGTGCCAATTAATTGATTTTATATTTGCTATTCCACAGAACTTTTTAATATTGGAATCGAGTCTCTCTGAACAACTGATACAATGACTGTAGTTAAAACTCTTACCAAGAGCCACTCCTCACACTGATTACAGCTTCCAGCATGTTTTTTTTTTTTTTCCTTTGACAACAAGTGGTCTCTCTCCTGCAGAGAGGAGGTATGGTTATATTTTGCATGTACGTAAAAGAATGTTTTAAAGCCCATATTGGAAACAATTTTCCAACTGATTATCCAGTTGACAAATCGGTACCTTATGTAACTGAGTGTTTAATTATTACTTTTAAAAAAGTAAAATTTCTACTTACACTATTACAAACGTAGTCCTGTCAGTGACTTTTTGGATTTTCAGAATAGAAGCCAAAGTTGTTGGTGTTTTGTTTTGTTTTAGTTGAAAATCCTGGTTCGTATATGGCTAACTACCACATTGCAGAGCATGGAGAAACTCACTTCGCTAACTACGTAGTGTTTGAGGATCTGGCAAAAGAGCGTCATGCTGCTTACGATGTCCCTGTAAGTCTGGCGGTTGCCTTCACTAGGCACAGTAGAAAATCCTGTGATCGGAAAATAAAGGTGGCCTGGCCGGAAACATATACTTATGACCTGAATAGCCAGTGCTTAAGAAAAACAAAAGCTTCATGTGTGAATGACAGTGCATTGGATAGTTTTTCTTGAGTAAGGACATCCCCATAGCATTTTTCTGCTAGTAAAATTGTAAAGGCAAAAATCATTAGTGTCATTTAGATACGGACAGTGTCAGCTAAGGCTTCTTCTTTACTAATCTTATTTAAAAAAAAAATAAATCCCACAGTGATACAGAGATTGCTTTTTTTTTTCTTTTTTTTTTTTCCAAAATTGAGCAAAAGACTTCCAAAGCTCTTAAGCAGTTGCTTTCACTAAAAATGTGCAGTCTGGTGTTACTCTCCTTGCACTGCAAATGTAACTGCAGGTGATAGTTGGCTGAAAAAGCAGGTAAGTTCAAATGGAAGGTAGATCTTGGAGGACTAAATGATTTGACTTCCAATACAAAAATGCAAGAAAGACTTTTTGTCTCCTACTGCTTCCCTTTTGGAGGTAAATTTTGTAAGTCATTTAGTTCACCTCATTTAATGCAGGGAAGTCAGTCTTCATGTGTGAACGACGGTGCAGTTCCCTTATGGGCTGGCAGTACTCTGATGTTTCATCGTTCTGCCAAAATGGATTTCAGTCTTCGCCCATGGGAAAAAAAAACCAGCATGAGTACTCCTGACTGTGAGGAGAGAAGGAGATGCAATAGGCAGTTGACTTCCAGATGAATCAGAAATAAAACTCTGGCATGCTGTGGCAGATGCGCACTGCGCGATGACTTTGCCCCAAATTCAGTTTTAGGATTACTAGCCTGTGGCTTTGAACACTTACTTGCCTGGAACAACAGTGTTGGGGTAATTTGGAGGGAAAGTTGACATATTTCCATATATGATAACTCTTGACGAGATTACCTTCTCTGCGATTCAGGGGATGTTCTTGGCTCTTTTGCTGGCAGCCTTTCCTCCTGGGCAGGTAGAGGCTGCACATGGGCTGCCTGTGGGTGAGGAGCTCTGCCTTCCCTCTGCAGGGCAGCCCTTGGGGTGCGTGGCAGGAGGATTTCTCCCCGTGGCCACCCTCCCCTGGCCCCGGAGTCGCGCCTGGGCAGGTTGGCAGCCAGGGAGCTGGCCGGATCTAAGGACTGTAGGTCCACATCCATTTGTACCAGACCTGTGTATTAGCTATCAAAATTTCTTTGGAATTAAATCCCATGACAAGGTGCTTATGTTAGTTCAGAATTTTACCCTTTTGAACAAATTTCACTCGGCAGAGTGAGTCTGTGCTAGTTTGGCATTTTACATCATGTGGCTGTTGCATTTTTGATGCGTTAGTAGACATTCTGAAATCCGCATCATTTTTCTGTGGAGCCGCGGCTTATGTTACTTCCCCCCCGCCCCGTCCCCATTCCTTTGGGTTTACATGTTCTGTGCTGCAATTCCAAAGTGTGCTGCAGAGACCTGGACACTGCATCAAAAAGTAAGTGTTGTGTGTTTGTATTTCTAAATAAACATAGCAAAATGCTGTAATCATGGACTATCAAGTAGCAAGTACTTCATTATTTATATTAAGCGGTCTTTAGCCATACCGAGAGGAAGGAAGTGAGCACGATTGGACTGCTATGACCATGACTTAAAATGCTTAGACTATTACAATACTTAAAGTCAGCCAAAGGAAAAGGAACAAGCTTTTATCATGGATCGCTCATTATCTTTAACAGAAGGAGCAGTGTTAGGGAAGAGGTGTGAAAATACATGTATCCTTAAATGTTAATATAATTTCTTGGAAAAATAATTTTAAAATGGCAAACTTCTATGTTTTCTTATGTTTCCATAAAACGTGGTCTCTGTTAAGTTTTCTCCATACCCACGGTAGGATAAGGTGCTTTCTAGAAGCAGAGGCGATAGTGCTGTAACGTAAGTTCTTACGGTTTTGAGTGCTCTTCTCCTTGTGCTTGCTGCAGGAGGCAGCTTCAGTTTTGGTGAAGTTTACACTTGGATGAATTTAATAGATAAATGTGCAGTCTGAAGTACTGAAGTAACATAGGATACCTCTTGTCTGCGGGCAAATTGGATCTCAGACCATGAATTCTGTTTGCGAGAGAGAAAAATCTCAGATGTATTTCTTGCATTCTTCTTTCGGTTAATAAAACACGCAAGTGTTTTACGTACAACATTTCTCCAGTCTATTCTGTTACACTGTTTTTTACATGGGGAAATTTTGGGTATTTCCCTTCTTGATAGTTTTGGGATGTTCTGTGTATGCGGAGGTGTGTCATGAAATTAAGGAATCGCCAGAAAACTGATTTGAATTCTGTATTTAAAAATGAAATGACCTTGGGTTGACTTAAAATCGAACTAACTTTTGCTTATCAGGGTGAAGAATACTTTATTGCAGGAGTTATTTCAAGACAACCTAATTTAAAATAATCAAACTGTTATGCTTCAGCTTGCTTACTCTTTGTTATTTTAAGCCATTTGTATATAAAATGTATTGTGCGGCCTGTAAATAAAATACATGAAAACCTGAAGTCTTTCCTTGTTTTCCCTCTCTGGTTATCAAATGGCATTTCAAAAGAACATTGGGTTCAACTGAGGTGTTTTTTTTAGTATCCGAATGAATATAATTTTCTGTGTGTTAAAATTCTACAAGTTATTTAAAAAAAAAAAAAAAGTATTTACTGCTCCACTACTTTTTTTTTTTTAAAAGGAAAACCACAGTGATTATCAGTAGGAGCGCTTGTTGCTGGAGCGGGGCTCCGGTCAGCGCAGGAGCCGAGGTGCAGCGTAGGGTACCAGTGAGCCCTGATGGCGCAGCTTGTTGCTGGGGCGGGGAACTGAGTTCTCCCCCATGCCAAAAAGATGCTGCTCTTCCCAGCGCCTCTGGCCTGAGCTTTTCAGGAGGGTGAGATGTGTATAATGTTATGTCACACTTTTCTCTTAGCGCTTGTGCAAGCGGAGGTGCAGTTAATATTCCCCACCAGTGTCTCTGTAAAGAGGGTGGTGTGCGCACGTTAGAAGTAATGGGAAATCAACCCCCAAAAGCCAGGTATTTTCAATGTCCGGCTACGTGGGCGCGCTGCTGGTGAAGCACTGTAAATCGAGCGTGGCTTCAGCAACTGTGCTTTGAGCGCCTGAGGCTTCTCTGCTCTTTTCCTACTGTATCAGCTAATCTAATGAAAACATTTACATCTTTCAATAAATGCTGTACTTCCATCCAAAAATAAGCCACTTGCCACATCTTCAGTACTCTTAAAACTCCAGGTTGGATGGACTGCTGCCATCATCGCTTCAATAACTTGTCATTGATAAAGTCAGAAGATGGGCGGTGAAGGTGCCGTGAGAAGTTACAGGGGTCAGCAGCAGTTTCATAGGTGGCCTTTGACACTGGGCTGGAAAAATGGCTAGCTGTAGCCCAAAGCATCTTCTCACTTTGGAGACGATACTTCAGTGGCAGCTACAATTAAAGCCTGGATTTTTCTTCTGATGACCAGCTCAGGCTGTATTACGTAGGATGTTGACCTGCACGTAGGAAATCAGGCAGTTGCATAAAACAATTTCCAGTTGTCTGCTCCGTTTTTCTCATGAAAGCTGCTCTTGCAACTAGTACCATGACGACGCTGGCTCTGGTTTCTGTTGGAGTATGAACCTGCAATGGTTTGAGAACAGTGCTGCGTCCCGTTCATTCAGCTGTTAGCGCCATGCAGCCACCAAGCTGTGCAAAAAGGCACCAGCAATAATTCCAGTGGGATCTGCATGTGAATCAGTATCTTCAACTGCAAAAAAAAAAAAAAAAAAAAGCATCAAGTGAAAGAGGAGAGATGCAAATAACTGCAGAACAGCCTCTGTCAACCCAGAGCACGGAATGCATCTGTGAAATTGGTTGCAAGAGGGGAAACAAACCATCTCATGTCACAGCCATGAATTATTGCCTGTTAGCTTTGAAAAAACCATGCGATTTTTGCAGAAACTTCTATTAAATTGGCTGAACCGGGATTAGATTGCTTCTATTTTTATGGAATGCCTGTAAGTTCTGACGGGCCATCGGGATGAAGGGGATTACAGCCACCAAACTCCCCCATCACGTGGAATAAAATGCAAGTCAGAGTTCTTGGCAGTGGCAAAAAACAAGGGGAGAGAGACCTTCGTTTTGACAAATGAGGGGAACTGTTTCTTTTCCCAGTCAACTGCATTCCCTTCTGTGGAGCTTGAGGGTTTTCCTTTTAAAGCCACTTGCTCATTATGGCTGCTTATTTTGGGCTTTTTTTATTGCCCGTGGAGAAACATCGCAGTCAGTGTGATTTAACTCAGGAGGAGGAACTTTGAGTCTGAGCCTATGGTAGTGTTTTCTTTTTCTTCAGGTACCACAGCCCTTTCTAATAGGCAATACTGGGATCGCTTTTCACAGCGTGGCTTCGATTCCGCTTCAACTATTCCTCTGTGGGTATTTTGGACGTACTATTGATAGGGTGAGTTCTCCTAACGTGATGAATGCGTCTTTAATAGGACTTCTTGCAAAGAGGCTTTGTGAAGATTTTTTTTCCAGTATTAGAAAAATACAGTGTAGAAGAGACATAACTGGGTAGAAAAGGGAATGCTTGAGTGTAAAGCTTTACAGAAACCAGCCTGGGAGGTTTTGGTACTGGCAAGCAGATCTGACAGCTGTGTGCTGCCCTCAAGGTAACTCGAGGATATTAATTGGTTTCTGCAGTTAGCATTTGACTTGTCTCTGCTATTCTCCCTCCTCCATGCCGGGGTACAGTGACAGTTGCTAGAGGACGGAGCTGGAATTGTGTTTAATGTGCAGGTCTGGCACAGAAAAGTGCCTTTTTTCTTTCCTCCTGCAAGTTCTTTTCAGACCCGTTTTACAAATGTGTAAAATAACGTTAGCAGGTTCAGACATAGGGGCAAAGAATCACTTTCTCCTGCCTTTCAAATGTTTTCTGAGGATCTTGGTTTTGCCCAGGTGGCAGCGGCAGGGAAGTACTGATGTCTGCTTGAAGGAGAGCAGCGTGCCCTGCCGTGGGGGCCCCTCTCAGCATCAGTGCCACAAGAGCCGATGCTGTTTTACCTCCTTGGTCCACGTCAGGAACACCCTGAGCAAAGAATGGGCTGCACAGGGAATCGGACAGAGGCCTGGCTTAGGAGGGGATTTTCCGTGAACAAGGAGCAAGGGAGAGGTCGTTACTTCTGTGTCCAGCAAGGGTGCTTTTACCTTCTTTCTCCTCCATCCTCACCGATTGCAAAAGGATCTACGAGGGCAGTTTCAAAGCAGGACCTGTTTTTGGTGCTGGGTTGTTTTTTTCTGTTTTTCCTTACTGGTGTTATCCTTCAGGAAGCTTTTGGATGTTGGAAACCACCGTGAGACATCCCCATGTCTAGTGAAGTACTGAGCGTTGCTCCTCCCGGGCTCCATGGCATGCCAGCTCTTTCTCTTGTGGGCAAGGTGTAAGGGAACTTTCAGGCTGGGGTGGGATGTTTCCCTCAGCTCTCCTCTCCAAGCTGAACTCCAGTAGCTCATGTACCTTCTAACCTCAAAGTCTAGTGGCCGAAAAAAGCCTCTTATATAGGTCTTGGTTCTTTGTTTAAGGAGGAGACAAGACTTCACATGTTGCAGACTTCACTGACACAGCTGTTGCCTGGGCTGCTTCACTAAATGAAGAAGAAAAATGCCTCAGCCAAAAAAAATGCCGCCAATTTCAATAAATTGACAAAATTGGAATCACCGGAATGGCCCAGCCTTGTGATAAGGTCTCCTGCCGCACTACAGCTGCTCATCCAAGTCTAATTCTCTTCTGTTTTACTGAGATACGTGAGTAGTGTTGTTGATACTCTAGAAATACTCTAGGCTTTTTTTTTTCGTAGTTATTGTTGCAAATTCTTTGATGTACCAGGATATGGAGGAGAAGGCGTATACAACAGGTTGTTAGAGCTCTACGCGAGCTCTCTCCTTTCATAAGTTCCCTGATGAAGATCTCATGGAGTCAGAATGGGAGAAGGAAACAACCTCACCTGTCCAGCTGAACTCGGCTTCGCTGGACAATGCACTTGCTGGTGAGATCTGCTTTTATTTCTAGCTGGGGAATATAAGTTGTACTTAACAATGGAAAACTCAGAGTGTCTTTCTGGTAAAATGCGAAGGAAGCATCTTCCCCCCACACTTGTGAAGCCAAAGATTCCCCATGTTTTTACCTGAAGAATGCCAGAATAATTTACCAGCATTTTTTCTACACATTTTTCATTGTGACATACTTCAAACTCTACACAGACAAAGCACGGTGTCTGGGACTTCATCCAACAACAACCTCTCTCATTATGTTTTTGTTTCTTGCCAAACTGAGCCCTAATCTGCTTTAAAAAAATCTCTCCTTGTAGGGAGAATAAGTCTTGTGTTTCAATGTGAGAGAATCAGTAGATGAGAATTTGAAACAAACTGGAAAAGGGGTTTTCCTGGGCTACAAAAATGTTGTCTTCGCGTTTCTGTTAGCACTGCTGCTTCTACTGCACTATAGGAAGGGTAAGCTGAGGGTACAGAAACCCTCCATGCTCCTTGCCACCCTCAGTAACTCACTCTCCAAGCGGTGCCTGCTGCGGGCCGTGACCTAGCAGTGCACGTATAAATGCTGTTAAGTCTTTCTAGCGGGTTTTTGGGGGTGATGGACACCCAACCATAAAATGTCAAAACCCAACCAGAGCACAATGGTGGTGTTCATCTCCCCCAATTCAATCCTGCGGCTGCGCGTGGCAGCCCTGCTTGCGGCAGGACGGGCTCCTCCGTGCCCTTCTGGCTCACAGGGGTTCATGCAGGTCTGGTGCTGTTTGCAGCTCTCCGAGGAGGTCGGAGGGGCAGGGTACGGTGAGGAGGCAGTGCTCTGCTGCAGCAGGGGCCTAGAAGTGCTCAGGGACGTGGTGGCACTGCGGCAACCTGCTGCCGTGCAAAGAGGTTGGTTTTGATCAGAATTTCCTATGTGGAGACGCAGCATCTGGAGTGTTGGGATCCAAGCTGCAGGTGTGCATTGATTCATTCCCAGTTGGAAGCACCATTTGCCTCCTGGAATAGTTGAAGCAGTGTCACTGGTCCAACGACGAGATAGTTTTCAGCCACTTGCTGGTCATCTGGAGCGTGTAACCATGCAGCATCCACCATAGTGTATCCTTCTTCACCCCCTCCCTAAGAAGGGAATAGTGCCTCTCATCAGCACAGCTGGTAAACACACTGTAACCCTTCTTTTCACCAGGCTGTGTGTTACAGTTGACACGCTGGAGGGAAGGGGTGCCATCCAGAGGGGCCTGGATCAGCTTCAGAGGTGGACCTGTGCAGACCTCATGAAGTTCAACCAGGCCAAGTGCAAGGTCCTGCACATGGGCCGGGGCAATCCCAAGCACAAATACAGGCTGGGCAGAGAAGGGATTGAGAACAGCCCTGAGGAGAAGGACTTGGGGTTGCTGATTGACAAGAAGCTCAACATGAGCCAGCAATGTGCACTTGCAGCCCAGAAAGCCAACCGTATCCTGGGCTGCATCAGAAGTGTGGCCAGCAGGCCAAGGGAGGTGATTCTGCCCCTCTGTTCCACTCTTGTGAGACCCCACCTGGAGTACTGCATCCAGCTCTGGAGTCCCCCACATAAGAAGGACATAGACCTGTTGGAGCGGGTCCAGAGGAGGGCCATGAAGATGATCAGAGGGCTGGAGCACCTCTGCTATCAACAGAAATAACGGTTTTAAACTGAAAGAGGGCAGATTTAGATTAGCTGGTAGGAAGAAATTCTTTACTGTCAGAGTGGTGAGACCCTGGAACAGGTTGGCCAGAGAAGCCGTGGTTGCCCCCTCCCTGGAAGTGTTCAAGGCCAGGCTGGATGGGGCTTTGAGTAACCCAGTCTAGTGGGAGGTGTCCCTGCCCATGGCAGGAGGGCTGGAACTAGATGATCTTTAAGGTCGCTTCCAACTCTAACCATTCTATGACAGAGCACCAAAGCCCTAGGTGAGCTTTGTGAGGTTGTTTCTTGTTCTGTCCTGGACATGTTGCTTGGCCTCTTTATTCATGCTAAGCCATGAATAAATAGTTGTACTCCTCAGGACCAACATCAGAATAAAAGCATTGCCTGAGTTTCTCAAAAATGCTGCTAAGTGCTAAAGATCATTAGAAAAAGGCTGAACTTCTTCCTTCACTTAACAACTTTCTGATCTACACCTCCGCAAAGCAATGGATGATCGAGAGAACAAACAGGAGTTCTGCTTTGCAGCTGACTCAATGGCAAAAAACACATGGAAGTTACAGAAGAGGAGCGGGCCTTCCCCTGCCTTCCTGCACTAGAGTTTAAAATGAAAACACATCCCCATGCTGGGAAATAAAGGATGCTGTGCGCAGTGCACAAAACCAGCAGCCCAAGTTACCCGTGTGCAGTGCTGGAACCTTCCCCACCCCACAAATGTTCTTGAAAACTCGTGTCATCTCCAGGCTGGAGTCCTTGCCCTCAAGACAAGGCTGTCTGACTGCACAGGCACCTTCCTGCTTTCTAGCCTGCTACTGCAGAACAAAGATTAATTGTGACCATTTATTTTAATACCTTTTTTGTGAAAATCGTTCGTTGTAGGGGGGGGAAAAATAGACTAAGAACTACAGAAGACATGGGAAATGAACAGAAAGCTATTAATGACGTATATGAGAAATAGGGTAGTAAATAATAATTCAAAACTTATCTGCAGATGGTCTGGTGATTCCACATCAGGAAAGCATTACTGTAAACCTGGCAGGCTTTATTAGAAGCTGTGTACATTTTTCTCCCCAGATTGCTTCTCGTTACGGATTGCAGACCCTGCTCTGGGACTTCCAAGCAAGCACATACAATTATGCAAGACAGTGAAAGAAGACATGCAGGTAGTAGTAATAATTTTTATTTGCAAACTGTACTTGTGATTACAATATTGCCTTTTGGGAACAATGACAAAAAAAAACCCAAATCCCACAGAATTTTGCAGGTCTGCTCTATCACAGATTCAACCCCGTTTCAGCTTCTAGCATCATATAAACCAGAGACGGCCTTCTCTTTCAACTGATCTCCTGGGAGGCTCCAGTTTGGGGTTTGGTTTTGTTTTGTTTTTCTTTAAGTGCAACATTTAAGTCTTAATTGTAAGAATGCAAATTCTTTACTGACATCCAGGGAAACCTTCTGCTGCTTTGTTGAAGCGCCTGTCATTTGTTGCTGCCTTGCAGCCTCTCGGCTCTTCTTCTTTTTCATTTCTCAACTCCTAGATTAACGTTTCAGCATCACAGAGCTTTTGTATTCTAAAAACTATTATGTTATGGCCTTTATTATGGGAAGCAGTAAAGCAAAGCATTACGCTGCATCTGAAATCCAGTGCTTTCTGGGTTTATTTAAAATGTAGATATGTGGCGAGATACAGTGTGGTGAAAATAAGGTGCTCTTGACTTAGCAGAAAGGATAAATGTGAAATGCAGAAAGAATATGCTAATGTGAAGTCTGTGACAGGAAACTGATTTTAGCTATATCTCTTATCATTTTAGTATGCTCAGAGTATGGGCACACAGGCATGCAATTTATATGAAATCATAATATCATACAATTAATTTACATATGGATTCAATGCATGAACTTTGTATGTAAAAATAAAGAAGAGCCACACGTCACAGTATGTAGTTTGTAGGCTGGTAAGTAAATAAATGATTCTTTTCAACTACTTCTTTAAAGCAACATTTGTTTAAAAGCATCTGTTATTCTCTTTGAAGCGATGAATGAAAAAAATGTTTGAGAAAATGTCAACATTTTAAAGAAAACATAATTTTCACCAAAATCTTTTGGTGAAACTGGCACGACTACCTAAACAGCCATCCTCCTGTCTTGGTTAAAATATGTTTCTGTCTAAATATTTCATCTGTATGACATGTTTGTGGTGGCAAGAGCAGAAGTAGAGTAACCAGCATTCAACAGAATTAAATATAGTGCCTGCAGTCTGTAACAAAATAAGAAAGTTGGTAGCTTAAATATTAGGTGAGATCATGAATTGCCTCTATAGAACTGGGAAGAAAAAAGTAATAAGAATGAGAGGGATCAGTTATATTGACTACTTAAAAATAAAAATTTCTAAAACCTCCTCCTGACAACAGAAGAGGCCGCAGATAACAGGAAAAGGTCAGGATTTCTTACGCAGAATGGAAAGAACATCAAATGCAGATGCTTCGCTGACACTCAATTTCCGGGAATCTATTGCTTAGTTGTGTTTTAAGTGCGATTGATATTCAAAGCAGCTTTGGATGTAGGAAAAGATGATAACCGACCAACTTTTTACACAATGCAGAGACAACAATTTGACAAGACCAAATCAACAGGAACAACACACACGCAC